GAGAGAGACCCTTTTCAAGACGACATCTCTCGCAGTCAGCGCCTATTGTTGTATGCAAATTAATGACGGCAATGATTATACCCAGTGAACGTAGAATACAGGGGTATATGTTACTTTAGCAACGTTTTGTATTTGTGTTTTTACACAAACGGCTGGTGTGAATAGAGAGAGGCAGAGGCAGATTTAGCGGAATGAGCGGTATGGAAACAGATAAAATATTATTATGCCTTAATACATTTGATGAAAAGAGCATAAACGAAATGCAATAATTATTAATAATTAATGTTTATTAATAGATAATTAATATTTATTAATAAATAAGACTTATTAATAGTTTTTATCTCGTACATTCCCAATTTTCCCATTTGTCGTGACTTTTGCATACAGTTATACCAACAAGACAGAGGAAGAGTAAGGCATTAATAGCCTACCTACTCGTTTTCTATTTTTTTTTATTTGTTAGCCCTGCAACCCTGGGCAAAGCTTATGCATTGCATTACAGCTAGAAGGGAGACAAACTAGATTTCACAACAAATAAATCCAAGGGAGGGGTATCTTTCAGTCGACATCTTCACTTGAGCATCAATACTTCTGTTTCGTGCACTGCGGAGGGTGTTGTTTCTAAGTTTTAATTGTGCCTGTCCAAGAGGTTGAAATATTGGGCTTGTTGGGCACTTACTGGGGGATTTGCGTAACTTAATAAAATAATTGAGTGAAAGAAATTGATTGAAATATTTATTTCCTATAAGTGCCACCCCGTCACTGCTGATCGTTGAGTCTTTAATTTGAATCTTTATCTCGACAGGCATTAAATTTCCCACCAGAGAGAGAGAGAGAGAGAGCGAGAGAGGCAGCAAAGTTTTTCCGAGCCCACACCCATCAATCCCCATCAGGACAGACATCCACGTCAAAGTTGCACACTGCGCTTTTATGCAGATAAATTGTCGGTTATATTCTCGCCCCCGAACCAGAACCAGATACCCAGACCCAGAGCCAGGAACCAGAACCGTTCCCTCCCCCTGAAACCTCCTGAACGTTTCGTTTGGTTGCCTTTGCTGCCGCGTCAGTTGTTTTGGGCCAGGCCAAGGGCTTAGGAGGAGGAACAGCAGAGATGGAGATGGAGCCGGACCGGATCCGAAGCCAGACCTAACCAGAGTGTCGGAGAGAGCTGCCTTTGCCTGATTGTTTCATGAAACTTTTCTGCAGCAAGGCAGGCAACTATTGTTGTTGTTGTTCCTGTTGTTGCTGTGATTTGTGCAAATTAATTTGCTTATAATTTTTACGCTTAGTTAAACACAATTTTGAGTGATTTTCACACAGAGCAAAATGCTTGGGTGCCAAAAAGTTTTCCCTCTAACTGCAGGCGGCGTTCGGCGGGCGGCACAGTGGGCCGCACAGGACTGAATAATTTTCAAAAATGTGAATATCTAACGTAATGGGAATGGGTATGGGAATTTCTATATTAAAGTTGAATCCCCATTTAAATTGGTAGAAAACCGCTGCATTGCCCCGGGTGCAACCGTGGCTTCGACCATTGGTTTCGTTAGCGACTACAACAACAACAACAACAACAAAAAGAAAAAGTAAAAACGGCACATTTAAATTTTTATTTCCGGACGGCCCACAATCGCATACAGATTTTTCCACCCGCTTGAACGTTTTTCATATTTTTATAAATTGCTATAAATTGAGATATTAATACGATACGCGACAAAACTCACAGGATCCGGGCAGGGCACAGCTCCAATTGCTGCTGCTGCTGATGCCGCTGCTGGTGTTGTTGGTCGGTTCGCTGATTCCACTCCGATTCGATGCGAACATGTGGCAAAAATCGTCGAGACATTAAAAAATTGTGTGCGCGCAAGTGTGGCACAAACAAAATGTTCAGTTATTTGTATAAAATGCGTTGCGACAACTTTTTGCGCGCAAGCAGGGGCAACATTTGGCCGTAAAGAGTTGGGCCCAGCTCCCCCCATTAATGATGAAGTTTGGCCCCCACAGCAGTCTGCTCTTTAAGCTGAAATTTAAACAAGACACTGGGGGGACAGCAGACTGCAGTAAATGTGGTCCTGCGACCTGTCTGTCTGCAGCTTAAGTATTCCATGCACACACACACACACGCACATCGTTCGTTTCTCTGCACACATTTCGTCAGTTGCTTCAATTGGACTGATTTAATTGAATCAGTTTGGTCCGTCTAGTACGAGTAGTACTACTGTGCCCGCCTCTCTATGGCCTCTGTGTCTTGTCAATTTACTAAACCCTCACCCCATTCTCCATTCTCCCTGCTGTGTTGTTTCGGGTCTACTCTAGACTCTCCCTTTTCCTTCTTCTGTGCAGATTCCTTCTGCTTCTTTTTTTGTGCACACGTTTGCGTGCCATGCACGGCATAAAAATTTTGACACAAAGGCCGTTCGTTGCACAGACCTCACTCTCGGGTTGTCTGTGCATTTGTTTGTGTGGCAGAGACGTGTTGAGGTCGTTGTCATGCACTGATTTTGTATGCAGCAGCCATGACAATCTTCCAGTCCTTCAGTTTAGATCAATTGAAGATCCATTTTCAAATCAATTTCCCATCTTTGACTACATTTGCTTTGTGCCATTTTCTATTTTGCAATCCCCAAACTAAATACCTTTCGACCTCACTGAACTCATGCACAACTTTCGCTGAGCCATGATAAATACGAGCAAAATAGTTTTGTGGAAAACTTTCCCCTGGTCATCGAATCGCATCGCATCTAATCCCATCCGATTCCTTACTCTAAATGCGAGTATAAATAATGCTAAATAAATTACCACACGCATAGAAAAACAATCATTACACTTGTGAGCCAAAGAAAAACCAATTTCGATTAGGAAGGCAACAAAAGTGAAACTAAATTTTATTCCATTCATAAAGCAAATGAGTGGCGCGGTGTCTGGCAGGAGGCAACCCCCCTCGGTCGCAACTCAGTTGCGAGGCCTAGGCACGTATGAGATTTCTTATTTACGATAAAGAGACACACAAAAAATAGCAAAATAGCAAAAACAAAGAAAAGAAACTGCCTTTACCCACCCCCCTCTGTAATTCCACTTTTCCGTAGAGCCAGTCAGGCAGAAAAAAGGCAGACAACGGCAGAGACAAAATACGAGAAACGGGGAATGGGGAACGGGGGCCGGGGGCCACCAGTAAAAAGGCCAAATATTGAATTGTGCGTAATTTACGATAAAAAGGGGAAAATTGGAAAAGTTTTACCAGTCTCAGACTGGGGGATGGGGATGGGTTTTCTTTATTTATGTAGTTCGTGTCGAGGGGCTACCAGATGCACGTGTCCCGCCCGCAGACGGAGACAAGGCGTGGCCTTAGGCCTCAATGGGAGGAGACACATCGCACAATCATGTAAATAAAAATTCTGATTGCCCGAATCGAGGCGAAGGACCTGTGCTCCATGCATGCGAATGTGTGTGTGTGTGTGTGTGTGTCTGTGTCTCCAGAACCAATTGAGGCATTTTTATTAAATATTACAAGTAGATAAATAAATTAGACTAGGACTAGGCAGCGTTGCCTGGAAATGTTTATTGGGCCCCAAGTGCAGGGGGGATCCAAGGAGGAGGAATGCTGGGAAGATGGAAGAGAACATTCAGCATTTATTGTCGGTTGTATTTCTGCCATTCCATACAGAAATCGGTCACACCTTCCCCCTTGTTGTGTGCCACTTAGGAATAATAAAGAATGAGCAGCCATTGCACTTTTTGGTACATTTACTGAAATTTAAACGCTGTCAACAATTTTCATCGGCTGCTCTCTGTCCCATCTATCCCACTGCCCCTCTATTCCACGGAGCTCTGTGCGACATGTCGTATGCGTGATAATGTGAATTTATGCCTTAATTGCAAAGTCCTTTACAGCGGATATTTCGATGGGAAAAATACCACTACGCCCACGCCACGCCTTGTGCCCCGCCACAATGAACTGCAGCTGTTTCGACGGGGCCCATTAAATCGCATTTGGTTAGCCGATTGTGGGCTCCGTAGGCAGTGCAGTCCACTCCAGTCCTACTACCACCACCACCCCACCCGACTATTGCCATAAAAACATTTATGTAATTGCTGTTATCGACAGCAACGGGCTCTGGAAAATGGCCTCGTGGCCGCATCTCGGATCCGGCAATGGCCGTTAACGGGCCTTTAATACACTTTTGATTGGATTGTCGCACAAGTTAATTGAACCGCGCAGCAGCAGAAGCAGCAGCCTGCATCGTTGAGGATGCGAATGAGGACAACAGCAAAACAAAATTTTTGGGGCCAGTCAACACGCCTAGCCTAAGCCACTGGCCAGTGGCGTTTTTAGTCTGGCCAACACAACACACAAAAACTGGTGGCAATTAATTTTGAAACTAGTTGGCAGGACATCATCTCCCGCATCCCCATACTACAGTGAAGGCTCGCTCAATGGTGCTGCCAATTCATGCCGATTCATGGGAGCTCATTAGGCGGCAGACTGGCCAACCCGACCCCCCTCCCAAACAGTATTCAGCATTTTCCTTTGTTCGATTCTATCGCCTCTTTCCATGAACCCTCTAAATGTTTCCTCAGCTTGTTAGTGCAACTTTTCCCGACGTCTGTCTGGATGTCTGTCTGTATCTGTATTTCGTTCGTTCTCGGCTCATTTTTTTAATGCTTGAACGCACTTTTATCTTTTGTTGTCCGTTGTCCGGGTAGCTCTGGCAAATTGTTTGAGAATGACCCGCGTAAATTCGCCTTCTACTTGATTTACTGTAAATTGTATTGTGTGGCAGAGATTTGGTTTGGGGCCCGGCCAATCCCATAAAGAATTACCGGATTACGAGTATTGAGTGTAGAAATGTGCCCGACATGTATATAAATTGATTGATCCGAAGGCCGGGTCTAAGCTTTGCATTTGTGGGTGACTCGAAGGTTCTGTTCTGCACACGAGTGGTCCGGTTTCAAATAGCCAGCCATTTGGCATGTGTCCTGGCCAGAACTACCAGGTAACTTACCCTTCTGATAACTCATCATTGCAAATTAGTGACGCATATATGTCGGACGCGGGGGGCGGGATGAGAGCCCAGCGATTCAATGAAGCAGCGCAACAACCACCAGCAGAGAGACCTGAAAGAGGAAGGGAATGAATGATCAGCAATCGGATTGGCGTTTGACGATTGAGTTGTTATGTATATGTTGATGATATACGAGTACATATATATATTCCTGCAATGCAATCAGCATAATTAAGGGCACATCGGAGTCATACGCCTTCGTCTTGGTGTTTTGCCACTTTAGCACATTTTTCGACGACTACTTGAGGCAGTTAAAAAACCTTTTTGCATTCGTTTGTTTGACTTCTCCTCATCCAGCCAGCAAAAAGATGGCAGTAGCAGCAGTAGCAGCAGCAGCAGCATTCTAGATGGTATGTGTACTTAGAACTGAGAACCCGCATCCCAGAAGCCCAGTCCAAGAAACAGCCGAAGACGTTCTAGTGGCAGAAGGCAAAGAACGAGCCATCCACCGGGTAAACAATCTCAAGTTTTGTTGGCGTTAGTTTTGTAAATTGCAGGATGCAACATTTTCATTAAATTAAGTCAAATAGCAAACAAGTAGATAGAAGCGGAGCACCTGCAACGGCAACGGCAACGGCACGGGTAAACAATCAGGACAGGCTGGCTGGCTGGCTCTTCCCTGAGAGTCCTGTCAACAATAACCGTAAACGGTAAACTGTAAACTGAAAATCGGGCAAGCAGCCTGAGCATTAACGAAATTGCAGCCCAAAGAGGCACCACTTCCCATCTCGAGAGAGTGAACTTTGCGTAGGAAGTGAAGTTGTCATAAGCTGGAGAGAGGATTGCCATAGCGTTGCCAGGCGATGGATTTTGAATGCAATCCCTAAATAATGATCCAAAACGATGTAAAATGATACATCAATTGTGGTTGTGCCACCGATTAATCGCTTCTCTGGCTCATAATACTCGTACTCTCCTCCAGCCCTCACCGCAAACGTCAGCTGAAACTGACAGCGTGTCCTTAGAGCTGCAGTTGGCAGTGGCCTCATCGTGGCTGCACATTTTTGCCTGGCTTGACAAAAGTCAAGAGCTCCCCAGCCAAAGTGGAAGCTGAAGGGTGGAGCTGGGCTGGCTCCTGCTCGGCATAACATTAATTAAGTTTGTAACGACAAATGCCAACACGACACGAGACATACACACAAATCAGACCAACTCCCATGCAAATGCAAAGCGACAACAGCAGCAACAACAGCAACAACAGCAACAACGTGCTCAAAGGATTTGCCAGCAATCCTGGCAAAAAGACGGGAGAGGAAGAGCGGCGTCGTGTGCAGTGGCGGTGCCAGTGCCGGTGCCAGTGCTGGTGCCGACGTCTGCTTGAATGTCATGACGATGTTAATTTTATAAACTCTTCAGTTTTTAGACCTCCCCCACCTATCGTCTCTCGCCACAGCTGCAGCTGCAGCAACAGCTACAGCTTAAACTATTCCCGTTGTTATGGTACCCTGCAGAGCAGGGTATAATGGAGCCATTCCTGTTGCCTGTAACTGCAAATAGAGAGACGTTCTGCAGTGTATTCGAAGGCCGAAGCTAGCGGTTCCCGACTCTGGCTGCGTGTTTGTGTCCACGCTAGTTAACGCCTGCGGTGGGTTTGTCTCTGCCCTGTGACGGATTTGATGTGCGTTTGCTCCTTCTGCCCTGCATATATATATATACATACATGTATGTATGTGTCTTTCTGTCTGTCTGTCTGTCTGTATCTGTGTTTGTGTTTGTGCTGTTGCTGTCTCGTTAACAGGATTTGAGGAGTCGCTTTAGCTGTCGCCTCCGTTCGCTGCTTTAAAAACTGCACCAAAATGTGGACTTGAATCTCTTTTTCCCATACTTTTTCTGGGCTCTGCCGCTGTGTGCCCCGCCTTTGTCTGCACATGGCTCTGATTTATTTAAATTTTCCCAGCCACGTGCAACATTTTTCTATTTATTTGACGCGCCGCTTCTACCCACATGGCAAAATGCTGCAAAACTCGAGAAGCCAGCGAAACGTATCCCCAGCAATTGAGGCCCCCCAACAGAAGGTTGGCTCCTTCTGAGGCAGGAAACGCCGACTTTGCTTTGTGCAACAGCGCGTGAATCGGTATATGGGAGGTAAAAATGCAATGTCTAGGCAAACACACTGAAAAATAAAGGTTCAGAGTATACTATATACTCGTTTACTTAAATGGTAAGGTTGGGGCTACAGAAGAAGCAGCATTTTATTTGTTTATAGCACAGAAAGCGCCGTGCAAAAGTGCAACGCAGCTGCCGGCTAAAAGAAGCGAGGGAAGAGCCTGGATTTTTAGGACCTGCCTCATTGTGAAAATGGGGCGTAGAAAAAATGTCTATTGTGTGTCTTGCTCTGTCTGTCTGTATGTCTGTGTGTGTCGCACACATGTGTGTGTCTTTGGGGTCCTTGTATACAGTTTTTCTTGCCGTAAATTGTGTAAAAAGTGAAAAGAATTTGTTGCGCTTTTGCCCCGAGGGGAAAATGCAATGGAAAAGTATTGCCATTCCATTGAGTTTTTTTTTTTTATCCTAAAGGGGGACTTGGTGTGGAATAGTACTTATTGAAATCTAGAGTGTATCATTGAGTGAATTCATTTAATCGAGAAGCTAGTATTTTTTTTTTGCTTAAAAATAATTTCAATTCTGGGAAAAATTAGTCCGTTTATGTAGTAATATTTTTTGTAATAAAGTTTTAAGAACGCAGAAAAGTCGAAACAAATTAGTTTCTCCAAGTATAATTTTTTGTATTACTTTAAAAATATGTAACGTCGTTTAAGGTATCATAAATGATCAAAAATTTGGAATACCTATTTCTTGAATATATGTATGTAGGACTTGTTATACTTTGAATTAATGAAATTTTATTTATTTTTTCCTTCTTGTCATATCATATCATTTCACTCGAACTCCATTGACATAGCTGCCTGTTGGAATATTATTTTCCACAATTATTGATCATATTTACAGTGTTTCATAATCCGCAATCATATTTGCTCAACTATTTGCATACATTTGCCTTTGTTTGGCCTGCTGCTGCTCTCAATCTGCACCGGATGCCCGCCATTCCGCCATCCGAGAGCGAAGTGCTCGTACATCATTTAAATGGCAACTTTAAAATGTTTGCCAAACGCTTCATCGTAGTTGTAACGGGAGTTTACGGGCCAGCAGCTAACCAAACACACTCACACACTAGCGCATACACACACGCAGGACCACACTCACCCCCCCACACCCCCACACACACACACACAGCAGCCTCCATCTGTGTCTGTTTCTATTTGCGCTCGTAAACCCACCGACTGGCAGGCACACGCTGAAAAGCATTCTACTTTTTTCTTTGCCGCGACTCTGTTGCAGGCGCGAAGAGATATGCCACCAAAGCAGAGGGAAGCAAAGCAAGATGCAGGGGCAAAGCGAGTGGCAGTGGCAAGTTCAGCATTCGACAGACAGCCGCCCATAGAGAGGAGAGACTTTTGTGCTCATTACTGTGGCAAATTTTTTGTTGCATGCTCCCGTTGGATTTTAATTAAAATTAATTACATTAAGTGCAGCAAGCAAACAACAAACATCAGTAGTAGCAGCAATCCGCGAAGCAATCGCCGGCCGCGAAAATGAGAATCTAAAAAAGCGGGCGTCCGCGCTTTCTCTAGGAAAATGGAGAGAAATGGAAATGGCTATGGCAATGGAATGAGCTTTAATGCGCTTTAAGCGGCGCTCTGCTTTTATGTGGCCGCCAGCCGTAAGATGTTTTTCCATGCCATTTTTGCGCACATTTTCTGACACACATGCGAGAGCATTCGGTCAAATGGTAATTTCTTTTTTCACAAAGCATTTCATTTCATTTGATGTTCATTATGCCCGGTACTTGGAGGGCATGCTGCATTTTTGTTTCTCAAAAACCGTAAGTCCTATAGGCAGAGTGTGGAAAAAGAATTCAAGCCTGTCTTTCCCTTCACAACAAATTACCTTGAACATGCGAAAAAACACATGTAGTAATATACTTTACTGTTTACTGGGTATCTTGTTGTCGAGGCACTTATGAATAGATTTATCTCTGTTTTTTTCCCCCTGAAAATGTATACATATATTTTTTTTTGACTGCCTAATCGAGGCGTTGGCCAGTGTTGCATTCGGCAGTAGAAAAAATGAACACAAAAAGAAAGTATAGAAAGCATAGAACACACACACATGTTATTCAGCAGTGACCTGCATTCCGAATGAATGCTTTAATTTTCAGCAGCTTATGCAAAGTATATCTCATCTTATCAGAACCCTCTCCGCATGCCTCTGCTTCATCACAGATTTATCAACCCACCACGGCATCCCCACTCTGTTAAAAGTATAAAAAGTTTTCAACTAAACTTCAGCTGACAACAAAATGGAAAATACAACAAATTGTTCAAGTGTTGGGTCCGAGCAACCCCCACTACCCCACCACCCACTAGCCCTCTCCCGCTGTCACTCTCTGGCCAGAACTTTTAAGCAACATCATAAAATACAACAATTGACAACATTTTTATTGTGTATTTCGTATCCATCGTTTTTTTTTTTTCGGAGAATATTTTTCTGAGCAATTAAATGTTGCCACTCGGCAGCAGCAGCAACAGCAGCAGGGGCAGCAACAGCAAAAGTTGCGCATAGAAAAGTTGCCCCAACGGAAAGTTGGAACAAAAAAAAAATACGTCAGGCGGAAGGAGTAGGAAAAAGTAACGGCAAAAAAATCGAAGCCGAAATCCCACCCCAAACAGGGGGAAAGTGGGAGTCTCTCTCTCTCTCTTACTCTCTCTCCCCGATCCAAAAACCAACAGCAAATGACAATAAAAATAAGCCAAAGGGAAACATTCTGTAATACCAGCGAAGAAAATCATAAATAAAACGCATGTAATCCACGATTGAGTGCTCAAGTTGATGCCAGTGCCAGTGCCAGGGCCCGGAACACGATAAGGGGCCATCCCCCAAGGGGGAAATATTTACATTTGTGGCTGATGCGGTTGCCATATTGAAAAGTCATCAATCATTTGGCCTGGCAGAATCAGCGGACTGAAAAATTTGTCAGTTTGGCAGAAATCGCGGAGGCTTGAAGCCTGACAACAGGATGGCCCCCCAACCCCCTCCCATCATTCGGTTTCAGGGGTCCACAAGTGCAGGCAAATGACTCAATTTGCAGACAACTTTAAGAGCCTTTAAGTGGAGGTGGTTTTTGGAGTGATGTAGCGAAGGTTTTGCTCCTGCTCCGGCTCCAGCCCGGCCAACAAAAAACGAGCAGTCAGAGCTGAAATGAATGGCTGAATAGATAGAAACACCAGGGAAGAAGTGGCGGCCATAGAGCAAAAGTTTACATAACATTAAACAAAGCGCACAATGGCACGAAACGGCAGACTTGAGGGCCTCTGTCCCTGCCCTGCTGATGAGTGCGAATGGACAGACAGAGACAGTCGGCAGCGCAGGGCAGGGCAGGGCAAGAAAAGAAAATTTGTTTAGACTTTCTGGCCCGAACCACACTCCTGTCCCCGCATACTCCGTCTCTGGCCAAGTCAAACAAAAACGAGTTGCGCATAATGAAGCACAAATGCACAAAGGACTCCAAGGACTTAAGTGCGGGCGACCAGGGCTAGGGGGCTAGGCTACATTTTACACAATAAATGTGGCCAAAAGGCTCTCTCGAGTTGTTCTTTAGGCGGAGTCCAAGCACGACTCGAGTACGAATCTATGCCAAATTATCGGCCGGCAACCCTGGCAACCCTGGCTACCCTGGCAGCCGCACAACTTTAACGCTGAGTTTCACTTTCGTGGGCAACTTGTAAGAAATTATTTCATTAACAACTCCAATTGGCAGTCGGTTAGCGGTGGAAGTTTTCCACCAATACGTAAGTAGTTTTCCCAGCTGAAGTTTTCCGTTTCGGTGAAGTTTGTTTTTGCTGGAATTTTATTTGCAGCAAATGTTATAATCGTGTTAGTAGCCAAAAGTTGTGGATAACGGATAGGGGATAGGGGATTGGGGATTGCGGATCTCGGATTTCGGCTAACTGTTTGCCAATGAGTGAACTGCAATGCTCTAATTGTGTGGGGGGGGTAAACTCAGACCAAAGTCTCATCTGAGAATCTTCTTCCCACACACCCAGAGAGACAACCTGCAACTCTTTATGGGTCTCGGCCCCAATTTGCATAGTTTGTGTGTGTGTGTGTGCCACTCGTACAACCATTTCAAGTCTAATCCCTCTTTATGGCCGACTGAGCCATAAACTGTGCGCACTTAATATGAAACATGCTTAAATGCGATTCCCTTTTCCACGGGGGCGGCCCATAAATAAATTATGAAAAACGCTTAACTACTTTCGACAGCTTATAAACGCCTACGGAATGCGAGGCCCGGACCCGGACGCCCGCAACTATTTATGTACGTGTGCACGAGTATCTGTATGTGTGTCCTGGGTGTTGATTTACAGTGGCATATTCCTAAGACGGAGACGGAGACGGCGGCTCTTTCTCGACGAAGCGTCGTTTGGGACTGCGGTTGCTCGTAAAGCAATTCATTTCCCTTATGCATTTTATAGTACAAAGTACAAGGATGTGTGCACGCCAGAGAAGGCAAAGCCAAAGGCAGTCACGAAGCCAGAGCATGGCAGAGGCAGGGGGCAGTGCTGAGTAGGGCGGGACGAGACGGGACAGGACAGGTGGAAAACGTCTGAAAATGGCGCAACGGAAGCGCTTTTCAATGAAATTTATGACGCATGGAAACATTAGACGATCGTTGACGTTTACAAGTCCGCGAACGTTGGAGCCTGACCTGACCCGCCGACCCTTGCCTCCCCTTCCAGACCACCTCCTGCAAATGCCCTGACACCCGAGCAATTTATGAGCTTAAGAAAGTTGTGCGCTGTCTGTTTGGGCCTTTCAGCCGCTAATTTTCCTTCCCTTTCGCTTGCTTACGAAAGAATTTCAATTAAATATAATTTATGTGGCCCCGAAATTGTTGTCAACGTTGGTTGATGTGACGACACACAGAAGGCACAGGAGCAAAGTGTGCTGCACCTTGGACGCCAAAATCGAGTTGAAGTCCGGACAACCCGGAACCAAAAAAAATGGAAGAAAGCAGATTGTTCAAAAAAAAAAAACACGCATAAAATATCGATAAAAACACAAGATATTTCAAGCTAAACTGAAAGAGAAATCTGTCACACGTTGAGTCGACATTTAATTGTGGGAAAGTTGTTTTTCAAATAAGCAAAAAAAAAACTCAGTTAGCACTGGGATTCAATTCAGTCCAGAGCTAGATCCATAGTCGAATTCTGGCATAAAATATATTTACTGGCAGGCGGAAAACAGCCCCAACATAATGAAAGGCATGTCAAAGTCAAGCTCGCAGGAGCAGAAATCGAAGATAATGGTGCCCCCTGGATTTTGGCCGGAGCAAATCGAGCGGTGTGCTGTGCCCCAGAACCAGATCAAGACTTTGGTCCAGGAAAGCGGCATCAAGCCGACCACGCCGCTGTCGCTACAATCAAAGCTAAGCTCGCAAGGCTTCGGCCCAATATACATGGAGCCGGAAGTAACCCTAAGCGAATCAGAACGAAGTTTCTGCAGCATTTTCAATGCAGGGCGCCAGCACAGACTGCATCCGACTAGCAAGCTCTGGGTCCCACCCCGTTCCCATAGATCCAAAAGGGAGAAGACACAGAAATACGCGGAAACAGCAGAGCCATCGGATACCACTGGCAACTGTTACGTAGTGTGGCAGCTCCAAACGATGTCATGCGCCAAAAGCCAGATGAAGAAAGCTAAGTGCCAGCTGGGTGAGTTTTCCACTTGCGCGGGAGTCCAGAATCAATCGAATCCATCCGTTTCAGCTGCCCATGATGTCATGCTGTTGGCGATCTGCAATTACTGGTTCGATGACCTGGAGATACGGATCGAGTCCGAGGTGCTTCACGTCGATCGGTTTCTGTTCTCGCATTTCGCCAAGAACTTTCGTGACTGCAGAGACTGCGACCTGCAGATTCCCTTGGAGAATGTGGACATGTGCCTGCTGCGCAAAATCTACGACTGGATGCTCGGGAATGAGCAGGGCATTCGGATCAACAGACAGCTGATACCCTTCTTCCAGGCAGCCAAGTTCCTGGGCATCGACGAGCTGCTCGACCAGTTCTGGGCCGTGTTCAGTCGGAACCCCGTCGGCGGCGTCTGGGAGCAGAATGCCATCGACACCTATCTGTCGGCCCGCACCCATCACTGCGAGCAAATGATGATCATGATGCTGTCCCGTGTCCGCAAGGGCTTCCTGCCATGGGTTGCCTCGCGGGAGTTCCTCGAGCTGGATGCCCAGCAGCTGGTCTTCCTGCTGCGCTTGAAAACGATCTGCGTGAATGGCGAGGAGGAGGTCTTCTTCGCCTGCCTCCTCTGGCTGGAGCACGCGTGGCAGGAGCGCCAGCAATACGTCTCCCAATTGATGTCCAACATGCACTTCTGCCTTCTCCCGGCCTGGCTGCTGCGCACTGTCGAGACTCAGTGCGAGAACCAGATGCTCGCTGAGGTTTTCAAGTCCCCAGACTTCCAGGACTGGCTCTTTGAGCAGATCAGGGACGCTCTATCGATCTCCGTCAGCATGGAGTCGGCTCGGTACGCCACTATATTCAAAACGCCAAATATCGGGGAGCTCGAACGCTCGTGGGTCTACTGCGGGGACGTGCCCCACCACCACGATAGCCAATGCCCGAACTATCGACAGCTCAGCTACCGCACCTTTAAGCTGTTCCTGCAGCGCCTGCAGCAGCAGCCCGACACCTACATGAAGAGCCTCAAGTGCATACAAAACAGGGCCTGGCACAGCTTTCGCTGCTGTCGCGATGTCCTCAAAACTTCAAAACAAAGCTTACCCAGATAAATAATAAAAACATACGTACATCGGGGAACAGCTGTTGGCCCATTTTATTGGAGGATTTTTCTCTGCCATTGGAAGACGAGCGTAGCGAGCTTCTGCAGCCTCTCCTTGTTGTTGCCAAACGTTATGGGACTTTTCCCAACTGCGCACAAGCGATATGGGATATTTTCCAGCTGCGCACAAACGGTATTGGAATTATTAAGATCTAATTGGAGCTCACTCCAAGCAACGCGTGCAGCAACAACACTCGAACCAGTTCATATGAACTGCATCTCGCTCACACATGGTTGACTCCGCGATCAACACACACTCTGGTCACACTATGCGCGCGCAATTTAAATAGGGCGCGCAATTCAAACATATTCCGCGATCAAACACACTCTGGTCACACTAAGCGCGCGCTATTTAAATAGGTCGCGCAATTCAAACATATTCGCTTAAATTAATTATTCTGCGACACATAAATACATACTCCTGCAAACAAATATCTGTCAGCGAAGAAAATTGTCGTCCTCGCACATACATAGATTACCAAATTCTGTTCCGATCACTGCACAGATGTGCAATCAAATTCGATCACATTCCCAGGACTCTAAGGAAGAGTTACATCGTTAAAAGGTGTCTAGAGCCTCGGTCCCTGAAGTTAAGCTTCTCTTCTGTGGTTTTTTTTTGCTATCTCACTTGTGAGTGTTAGGTGGAGGGGGGCCAGAGGCAGGCTTTGTTTTTGCAGCCGTTTAACAAATGGCTCGACCCTACTCCACCCGACAGGGAAATGTGAAGCGAGGAGTGGCGGAGACGGGGAAAAGGGGTCCGGACCGTGCACTCGCTGGGCGTGTAAGCAGCCAAGCAGCGGAAATGATTCGTCGTAATTTTCCTTTGTGTAATCAACTCCTTTGTAGGGAATATTTTGTGTGTTCATATGCCTTGCCGACGACGTTGCTCTTGACTGCCGACTCCAGGAACAGTGCCGGCTTTCGCTCTGGCTCCGTGGAGTCCGTGGCGACTCCCACACGAACGTATCCATCCGACAGCTCTACTCCGCTTTTTGTACCATGCTTTTAGGCGGCGGCGGCTCTGCTTCTTTTATAGTTTTATTTATTTCTCTTTCCCATGCCCATACACCCGTGTCCCGAGGCTCTCAAGAGCTAGAAACTTTTCATTTTCCCCCGCTTGCCAGCCAGATTATACGCCTGTCTGATTTTTATAGAATTTCGTGGATCCAATACGAAATTTAATGAAATTTCTCCGGGAACTCTCTTAATAATTATGCAAATATTTCAATTATTAAATGCCAGAACGGGCCAGTCTCAGCTCTTCAATTTGCTCTTTAATTCGCCTGCCGCTGCTTGTCGTTTGTCGCTTGCCGGGCAACTTTTAACGCCTGCCAACCCACATCAAGACGACGTCCTGCGGTCCGGGCAGGTGTTCTCCCCACCAGCGTCAGCGTCACGGCAAACTTATTATCGCCTTATCTGTCCCCGCATTGATTATTATGAAGTCTAGCTGTCAGCGGGCCCAAGAAATCCACTTAATTTCAAAAGCCAGTCCTTAGCCACCTTTGTGAGGAGGATTGTGTGCGGATGCTGTGGGCAAAGTTTGACGCCATCAATTGATCATTATTCAGTTTTTGCTGAATGCCTTGTGTTGTTCCCTTCCCCGGAATGCCCGTTGATTGGGTGTAATGGAGGTGTAAATATTGTTGGCCAAAGATTCGCCAGCTCCCATGGTGGGAATATCTCAGCAAGTTTTTAATGGATTTTGTGTCTATTTTAAAGCTGCTTGCTTGCTCCCTCACTTTGCCATTCCGGCCACTGTTGCAACCAGCAACCCGCAGAAAAACCAAAGAAAATTGTAAACAGAAAAAGCATGAACGAAAAAAAGGAGTAAAAGGCTGAGAGCAGAGAGCAGAGAAGGCAGAGAGCAGATTGCAGGTCAGCATATGAACATCAAAGCGTTGTACAAACATTTAAAGATCAAAAAGCCAAAAGCCCATTTAACCCACACACACACAAACACACAGACACCCACAGATACTGATGCAGACATGTGTTTGGGCCATGGTCAAACAGCTGCCGCCGCCTCCTTTCGTGTTGATAGAGACCTATACGAGTCGATGGGGGGGCTGGGTGGGGCCACCACCACCGCCACTGACCACTCGGAACAGCCTGCCTCCGTCGGTTGCATTAATAAAAATTGCTCACCATATTGGTAAATCCATTATGAATATTACGGGAGAGTAAAAGGCAGTGGGCTTGCGGCATGGGGCGACCTACGCCTACCCAGGGGCAGGATCAGGGTTAGGGAGTGGACTGTGGACTGTGAACTGTGGACTGTGTGCTGCATAAAAAGATTGAAATTGAAATTTGTGTTCCTGCCGCTGCCGTTGCATCCCCTATGAGCTCCTGCGGTGGTCCCGTCCCCGTCCCGCCCCATCCGTCGCTGCCCTTCGTAATTGTGTGCGAAAAGCAAAGCAAATGTTTACGTAATAAATTTACGTGATTGAAATATGTCGAGTTGGCAACAAAAATGGCCAACGACTGACCCGCTCTTTACTTCTCCTGCTCCTGCTCCTGCTCCTCTCTGCGCTCTGGAGCCTCCTCGTCTGGCTAACGAATGACGCGCATCATCACCCCATCCCCATCCCCGCCCCTGAATGTGGTGTAAATTTTTACACATGTATAGAAGCTGTGAGTTGCCAGGGGCATTGCGGGGATAAAGTTGCTCATTTCGATACCCAGTAACCAAGTGGAGAGCACAAGGGTATATTGCCTAGAAAGTTTTTTGTGCACCCCAGAAAAAAAAAGCCCTGAAAATTTAACTTTTACTTTGGTTTCAAAATAAATTAATTCAAATTAAGGCATACTAATATTTAAAACAGATATGAACCAATTTAAGCTATACATTTTTTACATTTTATTCATTTTAGAGAGTTTTATATTTAGATTAAATATGAGCCGGACTAAAAATATTCATTTGTATTTCAAAGTGAATTCTATTTAATTCTACGCTGTTTATATTTAAATTGAATGTTTTCATATTTAGATAAATGTTTTTTTCTTTTTTTCAATTTATATTCCAACACCAAACAGTCTTTGCCTTTGATTTTAAAATCAATTTAATTCAAATTAATCAGGATAAAAAATGCATAATACTCAAAAGTCATATTAAAAATGCATTTATTTTAATTTTATAGTAGATTATATTTAATCCCACGATTTTTATATTTACAATTTAATATTTATATTTATTTTATATTTTATATTTTCATACTTGTAAGGGGTAAGGGGTAGCTTAAGGTCGGGTTGGAGAGCCGACTATAGCATTGCTATATGTTATTAGTTCCCAAAGCATTTGGCGGTTGCTGCTGCTGCTGCTGCTGTTCGCTTTTCGTTGCCTGCAAAACCGCAATTTGTGCAAAAATTATGAAACGAGACTCTGGGCAAACACAATCAACGCTTGAGTAAGTTTTTATGCATTTAAATTAGTGTGTTCCTTGTGCAGACAGGACATGCCGAAGGATACAAAGGCCGCCCCCCATGGTGCGTCCATAAGCGGATGAGTGCAGCGGATTTGCAGCAATTGAAAAGTGTGTGTGTGTGTGTGTGTGTGTGTGTTTGTGTGTGAGGTAGGAAACGGAAGCTCTCCAGAGATAGGCATAATTATGTTGTTCTTTTGAGGAAGCCAAATTTGGGATTTGAGAGCAGAGCCCCATTTGTTGGCTGCACTTTCCTGTAATCGAGACACAATTTTCCCTTGCCCCTTTCAAGCTGACAGCTTAGCCATTCACACCTCGTCAGAGATCCTTTCCCGCTCCCCTTCCATGGATACACATGTCAAACTAGAAAGGATAAAAAGGACGAGAGCTGAGAAAGAAAAATCTAACCACGCGCAATTTGTCGTGTCGTGTGTGTGGTGGTGGATGTGGAAATTGATCCAAGTGATTTTCCTACCCATCCCGGCCATGTCTGAAAAGTATTTACTGCGTCGTCAGTCATTCAATTTATCGCATTTCTTTGGCCCAAACCAAACAGAGGAATCTGTCAGAGAGACAGCGTGAGGGAGCAAAGCAGACTTCAACTTCATCTTGGCTGTAGCTCCAGCTTCAGCTTCAGCTCTAGCTCCGCTTTTGGCTTCTTTCTGCTGGCAATGGCGACAAGTTCATACGTCTTATGACTTCCCGTTGACGGAAGTGCGCTTCATGTGTGCCCCGCGTTGGGGTTGGGGTCGGGGTCTGGAGTCTGAGTCTAAGTCTGGGTCCTGGACTCAGTCTTGTGTCTGCGCCTTGGGTCGTGCAGCTTACAGCGAAATCACTTTTATAATTGGCACGCAGCCAGCCAAAAGAAAAACTACCTCCCAAAGAGAAAGATAGAAAAAAAAAACAGAAAAGCTCAAACTGTCTGCTAGGTTTTTACCCCGTGCAGAGGGCACAGATCTGTGGGAGCGATGTCTGCAGATACTATTTGTCAGATATGACATTATATTAATTGAAATTATTTGTTGGACCCGCTACAAAGCAACTCAATCCCAGAGAAAACTCCATTTTGATGATATATGTTGCCCACACCGAGTCGCGGGAGCAGGCACAAAAACTGTCACCCTAATTGAATTGGTAAATATTTAAATAAATATAACCGCAAATAATTAAAACAACAAAAGCCAAGCGACAGCAATGGACACGTCTAAATTAAGAGCCTCAAAAACGGGACAAAAAAAATACGGGCAAAAAGTGGAGAGTGACGGAGTGGAGAATGGAGAATGGAGAGTGTGGTCCATGCACAGGTAAAAATGGCTGGGCGCTCATGTCACATTCCAACCACAAAAGCAATTAAATTTCCAATTAAATTGCATTCACTTTGCAACATTTTGGTTCGATGGAAGCGCTGCAAACGGCGCGCGATTTATTTAAATTGTTAATTAGGAAAGGCAATTGCAATGACAAATTGATCGCGGGGCTGGCTTCATTTGCATCCGGGAATGGGTAACTGAACGCTGCCGCTAATACGCGAAACTCCTCTCTCTCTCACCTCAACCTCCGTCCTGGGACAGTAAAGGGAATACAAATAAAGTTCTGCGCTTCATTCAGCATTCTGGATTCAGTGCCTCTTTCATGGTGAGCACTTCCCTAAGGATGCTCACATCCTCAACAAAAGACACCAGCAATTACAGGCATCCCACGAGGAAGACTGGCACAAAAAAAAAAGCACATAATTTTTCGTAAACGTTTTTATAGTGTTGTCATGTACGATTAATTGCGGCTCATTAAACTTTATACGGCTGCAGACGCTTTCCCTGCCAGCCCCGAGCCTGAGCCTGAGCCTCCCCTTCCAACACGTTTGCCACATTTGGGGCCATGGCATCCATCCAACCGAAACAGACCCTTGTTCGGGCTCTGCTGACCAGAAGCAAAGGAGTATTTTTTTTTTGGTTTCCTCTGTGTTAATTGTCGGACGAGAACAGTGCAATCCATGACTCACCTCCGTGCCAGGAGTACGAGCAGGTGGAGCATCTATTTCGATTTGGGAAGCATAAATTGTGTCTGGGTTGGCTATAAACGCCCAGTAAGGAAATGGATGGTTTAAACATATGTACATGCGTCCCGCACACAGTGGAGCGTTCAGTAATTTTCTTTTATTAATTCTCCTCCTCTCCTCCTATTTCGAACGCTAACTTATTTCTTTCACAAGGCTTAAGGAAACTCCACTCACTTCTGTATGGAATGAGTTCTCTGCATTAATTCTACATTCACTTTTTTATTCTCCTTTTTTATTTTCTATTTTTTATTTATTTATTTTTATTTATTTTTATTATATTTTATTTTTATTTCATTTTTATTTTATTTTTAATTTTTGTGCCGATCTGAAAACAAAGCCGGATAGGTAAATTTTTTTTCTACGAATAAATGGTTTCCTTTGAAAACGTCAAATGAGTTTTGTTGATGGCTTAAATATTCATTGGTTTAGGAAATTTCAGTTGGACGGATTGCTATCTGCGATTTTTGTGTGGTTCCTCTTTCAAAAATGCTGCTAAATGCTGCCTGCCTTCAAATTAAAACATCAAGTGACAAAGCGGCGGACAAGAAAACAGAACCGGAAAACAGAAGCACAACAAAAATGGCCAAAATGGCATCGGCATCGAATCGTAATTGTTGTGCTGCCAATGGCTGCCGTTTATTTGTTTGTAGCGATCCTTGCAGCCAAGTGCCGCTGACATAGCAGGGAAAACTGCAACAGCACTCCGGCAGCGTTTTCCGGAATGTTTTCAAATCAAATATCGGCAACTGTCGGCAATGGGAGCGGGGGGACGTCGGTGGGACCTGTCGGTGCACCGACGTTGATTGCCTTTGACTGCGTATTTATTTGTATGGTCTGTCTGTCTGTCTATTGGTCAGTCAGTCCAGTATGTCCGCAGGTTTTTTCCAACATTGTAGCTATTTTCCTTGACTATTTTTTGCCCGCTCTTTGCATGTTGCATCATTTTCATTTTGTGTGTGTTTTATGCTTTTTGTCAACGTTTTGTTTTCGGCTGCTTTTGTGTGTACTTTTCCACTGGCTGCGCTGCGCTGCGGCCTTTAATGAAACGTTTCTGTTCTCTGTACCCCCCAGCAAAAAATCACTGCAATAAAAGTGTATCCAAATGAATATTAAAGAAGAGTTAAAGCCAAATTGTAATCGGTTTTTATTACATTTTCAGCAGCCTAATCAAAAGAGCCACTCCCAAGGCATTACTTGAAATATCCAACTGATTTTTACCCATAATAAACACGTCTGCACTCCGCACCGATCTCTTCCCACTCCTTCCTGCTCGTCAATTGGTTTAATGACGCAGCAAAGTATGCAACAAAATACTACAACAGGCAGATAAATGGGGCAGGAACGGAATCCCAAAGCAGAGCCTGAAGCCAGACATCCATGGCATCGTCTCGTTCGGAGAAGCCTTTGCCTTTCACTCGAAATCACTTGAACAGCTTGCACATTTATGCAATTCACTTCACACAGATTTTGGGACTCACAGGATTCAGATTTTGGGCTCGGATCAATGCAAAAATCACTTCTCTGCAATGCACTGCGATATGCTGGGCTCCTCCCCATCGAGGGTGGATGCAACGCATTCAACTCTGAAATTGCTTGGATTGACGTTTGTTTAGCAACTGTCGCAAGCCTTTTTCCATCCCTGCTGACTGTCGCTCTGTCGCTGACTGGGAAAATCTGCCGATGTTGCACTTGACCAACAACTGGCAAAAAGCAATTTTAGCACCGAAAATTTTAATTGAATCTGAAGTGTCGAATAGGCGGCAAGAAAATCAATAGCGGAGCCCCCGAAACTGCAAAAACCCAGGGCCCCGCAACGCGATAGACTGATAGACAATGATTACAATGCTTGTTGCCACGCTGTTGCAATCGGGCTGTCGGGTCTGGTGGATGGGCTTCTTTGACATTTTAATCGAAGGGAATTTCTACAGATTTCACTGATGGATATCTCACATGGATCGGGTCTTAATTTGGCTTAGAACATAGTTGAGATTTTCGCTTACCATTTATGGAAATGTTCAACTCAAGATAGCTCTGAGTATTTCGAGGTTCGATCGTATTTCTTTCACATTTTCCAAGCACTTAAACTTGCGTTTCTTAATTACAGTTCGTGTAAGCACTATTTGCGTTGGATAACTTTGGATTAAACACCGATTATATTCACTTCACTATAATCTGAGAATTGAGAACTACATTACTACATACAGTACGCGAATATCTGGCTGAGTCAACAGTTTCTCTGGGCGATCTATGTGCTAAGTTATCTATGGTACTGAGTATGGTCTATGGGTTAGATAAAGATGCGGAGATTCTATGCAGCTAATTCGCTATTTGCTTACTACAGTTCACAACCATTCAACGTTTAAGCGAGCGATGTTCAGAAAATGTCCGGATCGTATTGGATCGGGATTACTTTGCCTTTGGCGTCTGGCTTCTGGCGAAAGTGTTCGAAAACCTCCTGGGATGTTCTCTTGATGTTCTCTGTGCGCGATTGCAACTGATATGATAATTCAACGAAAGAGTCTTAGCTTAGCACTTCTCTACTCCTAGATTGGGTTCCTACTACCTGCCTAGTCCTATTTTATGTTACTTTCTATAAACTATTCACTGTAAACGGCTAGAAATGTGCAAAAGTTTCTTCATATACACGAGTATTGTCTGGCTGCTTTCTTTTTCTTGTGACTTAGGTCAGTTACGTGTTCATTAAGGTGCCTTGTCGTAGGTCAGTTCCCAAGGCGATATGTGTGTATTTCCCAAATATATATTCTGGGGGCGAGTGTTCTTTTCGAATCTCCAAGAAAACCGTTTCAATGTCGCGGCACAACAACCGAAACTCACACACACACACAGAGGACACAGGGCACAGGATACACAGTGAAGAGAACGCACTCTGGGAGAGAGTACTGGCACTGGCACTGGCACTGGGAAAAATGTTTGTTTTGGACGCCGGCCCTTTGTCGTCAGCAACCTTTCGTAACCGTAATTCGCGCAAAACTGATCCTTAACGCATTCCGAAAAAATCCTGATGCTTGGCCATCCTTTGGCGAATTGTGCAACGAGCACGAACCTAGCCAACTGCACGAGTCCTTGCGGCAGCCGACGAGGAGCCGGAAACGACGACTACGACAAGGACGAAATCTGTCGACGACGACGACTACGACGAAGCCGATTATGGGCACCCGAGTAGCTGGCAACAACCGAAGCATTTTAGCCGGCAAATAAGGAGAGCAGCCACTGCCAACATGTCTTGTCCTGTATTTTGGCCAAGTGCAAAGCAAATCTCGACAATGCGAAACGAGAAGCGACGCCACGTTGGAACCGATGCTGGGGCTCCTACAATAATGTAATTTTAATGCAATTCAGGGATTAAAAATTAAAAGAAAATACTGGCAACTGATCAACAATTAAACGGACTAAATAATAATGTGAATTTTTCTTAAATTTTGTGGCTTATTTTCCGTTGATTTATGTGTGAATTTTCTTGCGTTCAGCCCCAAAAGTATGCAACAGCATTTTGGTTGGTCGCCATGCCACACACTCGAACATGTTGGCTGCCTGACGAATTCGCCTCAAACAACAACAATGGCAACAAGTACAAACGGAAACTCTACACTCGCCCCGCAGTAATTTTTAATTTTTTTATGCCCGAGAGCTTTTGCCAGTGCACTCAAAGAAAATCTTTCTACCATTACTTAAATTCTGTGCAATGTGTTCCGAACAAAAGCTTACTCTCTATAAAGATTTTCTCCCAGTGAACGAAAGCTTTTGCTGCCAAGGCGAATTAAACTCCTCCGTGTGTAGAGTTCCATCGAAGCTCCTCTTTCACTGCCTCGCTTTAGCTCTGCCTCACTCGCTCTTTCTCACCCAAAAGCAACATTCCCCAAGGGTATTACTTGGGGTGGAAACATTCAAATGGAAAATGAAGGCTAAAGTAATTGTAATTGAATGGAAGACCCTTTCAGGATAATAAACCAATTGAATAGCAAAATCTTGAGCGTAATTCGAGAATGAGAGATCTTTTAAACATAACTTTGGATATATGGATATCTATTTTATATATTTCCAAATCCCAAACAAGCCAATAAATCTTTGCCTTGAGTATGAAATTCCATAAGAATTTTGGCCATCAATAATCGAATCTTCGAATCGAATCGAATGGCTTGCTTGCCCCATTGATACAAATTGTAAATGCAATCAATGTCAAACATTCGAAGAGCGCATGCAAATACTGGACATGGCAGGACATTGGGACCGCTGGACGCAACAACATTCCAATGCAATTAGTTCGCACATAAAAATGTGCATGGGTGGAAAAACCACCACCACTCGAGAGCAGCAGTGCTGCCCCGACCCGATTTTCACCACGCGCAAAGCCAAAGCTTTAATCGCAGGACGAACCCGAACCCGAACCCTCTTGACGGTGGAAAATAGTCAAAAAAAGTGGCAAAATACTGTAGCATACTGTGGGGCGCTCCTACTATTTGCTGAGCGCATCCTGGCCCCGTTCTCTCTCGCCGCTCATGCGCACTTTAAGCCTCCCCTGGACTTGGACCACCGGACCAATCACGTCCGACCATGAAAACTTTATGAGCATGCCGGTTGGTGACCAATCCTGGGATTGCACATTTCCAGGCGAGTTGTGCATCCTTGCCCCTACAATTGCATGGCAGTAGGCGCAAACGCAGCGAACGGCAACGAAGTGCGACACGGAGACATGGCGACACGGCGACGAGGGCCAGAGCTCGTTCGGCAAACTGTTTGCCTCGCCCAAGTGTCGATTACTGTGGGGGCTGCTTCTTGTTGCACAGTCATTGCATATCTACAGATGTAGGCTCGATTACATTCCACACACACACACACACACACGCACACACACACAGAAACATTCGGAGGTGTTTGCTCTGCTAGGTGACAAATTTTCATGCCAACGCCTGTAAATATGCAGGGATTTTTCGCTCCTTTTACCATTTGCCATAGCCGAGAACGAGGGTAATTGGGGTCGTTCCTCGTTCTCGTTGTCCTGTGTTGATTTTTCGCATTGCATATTTCCAGGCGCCTCTGATTGCTGCTGCTCCTTCTGGCACTGTTGCGGCCGCCTTCTGCCTGCTGACTTCTGCTGTCTTTCTATCTTCTGGCACCCATTTCGGGGGCATTTATGATGACGTTTTTCCTTCGACTCGCACGAGTGCCACTGCTACTGCACTGCTCTCTCTCTCTCTTCAGCCTGGAGCTTGTTTGCACTGAGGGGTCAGCATATTTGCCAAGCAAAATATATATATATTTCTTTCATGCCAAGTGTGAAAATTGTCTTCCTCCGTTGCACTTTTGATTGCCGTTTCAAATTGGAGTGCCACCGAAGAGGAACGAAACGAGGAGGAACCATATTGTCTGGCCAAATCAGAAATGCGGTCGAAATCGTTGACGAGGCATTTTCCCCATACATTTTTTGCCGGTCTGTACGAAGTCTGAAGGCAATCAGTGCGGGAGAATGCAGTGAGAGAATGAGCTAAGGACAGTCGTGGAGATTATGGGATACCAAAGAATACGAGATCACGCATATGTCTTTCTTTCCCCCTCACTTAACTGTCGATTGAGATTAAAGTTTGCAGCAGGAATACCCATTAGCTTTACCTCGCACCGATTCCTTTCTGCATGCACTTTAATCCCCGCCATAATGAGCAGTCCTCTCGCCAGCATGTCATTAGAGCAAAGAAAACCCGAGTAGAGAGAGTACTTTCTAAGGCATTAAAGAACAAGTTGCACTTCAGTCAGCACTGCACTGCACAGCACAGCCCACATAATCCGTAAACTTCAAGCAACAAAAGTCACACATCACGTCTGTGGTGATGGTCACGGGCCCAGAGCAGAGACAGCATCCCTACACAGGAGACCTACCTACCTACAGAACGGAGCAGAGCACGTAAATGCATCCGCAAATACATAAAGCCACACTCAACCACACACAGAGGATACACAACACATTCATACACCTGGCTTCAGGACAGCAGCTGCAAGGGCTAAGGCCGCCTCGAAAAGGGAATTGAGTTAGAAGCGAGAGAGAGAGAGAGAGCAGAGCAGAGCCAAAGAGCTTAAAATCAAAAGTCAGACCAGGCCTATGTAAATAAATGCAATATGCAGGCACACACACACACACACAGGACACAGGAAGGAAGGCAGGAAGGCAGTCACGAAGGCTGCCACCAGAAGGAAGGCCACGCAGTCAGGCGGCCCGGCAGTCACGGAGTGAAAGCCGAATGAGAGAAACAAAAGAAGAAAGAAGGCAAGACATTTATTTGGCCAACACCAGGAACTGGTAGCTGGTAAACGGGTAAACTCTGGAACTCGGCAACTCGGATTTAGGCCCAGACAACGTTGGACAATTGAAAATGGCGCCTTAGTTTCGACAGACCCGATTCTGATTAAGCGCATAGGTCGACGTTTGACAGCTCCACTGTCTGTCTGTCAGTCAGTCAGTCAGTCTGACTATCCGTCTGTCATTCTCTCCTCCGTCTGACTGTTTTTCTGTTTGTCACTCTGTCTGGCCATCAGACTGTCGCAACCGCAGGAAGGCGGCAGCACTGAGGGGCAAACAAAAAATACAGAAAAACATAGAGCTCTAACAAATGGCAAGGCAGGTTTTGTTTTTTTCCGTGCCGTGCCGTGCCGTTCCGTGCATTGTTGCAATGTTACGGCGTAAGCAGAATTACGTGCAATTGTTTTCTGCAGTGGTTCGTGCACATAAACGCCCCGGGAAGGAGTTGGAAGGAGACTCCACACGCTGTATAAACATAGACACGTTGACTGCATTTCGAATGAGATGAGATCCACACGAATGACTGACTCGTCTGTCTGTCGTGTCAGAAGCTGCGGCTTAAAGCTCAGGGAACTACGCCTCTGAGCTTTAGGATTAAAATTTAAATGTTTTGAGACTTTAACCGAGCTAATGAGATATTTGTTTATGCATTTGTCACACATCTATGGGTTTATTATTTATTTTAAGAGTTTCAAAATCGCTCTGATCAGATCAATTCCGCAATAATCACACACTCGACCAACATTTCGTATGATTTTGTACCCAAACTTCCCAGATGGGTGATCGCTTTACTCCGATAGTGTCCTGGGCCTATGAATTGGGGTACGAGCTCGTCCCTCAGCTGCCAGTCCCTGAGATAATACGTGCCTATCGACCAGGGGCACCGCCTGGGAAACTCTCCGTACTTGACCAGGCTGAGGAGCCATTTCTTGAATAAGTTAGTGCGATAGGAGACGACCGTCTTGCAATAGTCGATTTCGTATTGGAAAAATGAATTGTAGGGTCCCAGTGGGTTGGCGCCCCTTTCAATGCCCATGTGAAACATTACTCCCGATGGGATCCCCACTTTGGTCAGCAGCGCACAGGAGATACGGTTATCCATGATTGAAAAATTGAAGCTCTCGATATATTTGCCGTTGTATTCGCACTTGTGGCTCCGAATAATCAAACTCTTCTAAAGTAAGAGATTTAATTTGTACTTAATTAAGCAATCAAAACTTTACTCCATGACAGCGTATACCCACAGCAGCTCGAACCTCGTGCAGAGACCAGGCCCATAGTAAAATTATTAACTGGAAATACTTGCGGATATTCATATTTCACAGCTGTGCGAGATACTAATACCATTTGGCTTTGGTTCAGCCAAAAATATGTTGAATTTTTACCCGAACACCGACACTCAGTTCGATTGGCCATCATTTGCCATTAGTATAATTATTATTTCTCCCCAAATTTGTAGCTACTACGAAATATTTATTTATAGCGTGTTTGATTGCCCAATGAAAATTTGAAACTAATATCGGCTGGAAAACCGAATTCTACTTTGAATCAATTTTGGAAACACCTCTTAAATGCTCAATAAACAAACTGTTTACCTCAATGGGGGGGCGAGACACTCAATGGCCAATTATTTTAAACGTTTCTGGCTGGCACAGCTCGTTTAAGTCTGGAAATTTTTGGACTTTGGGTTCAGTCAGCATTTGACAAAAATATCGAAAAGGTCAATGAAATTCCGTACTTCCGTACGTTTCGTGCTCACGGTGGGGTTATTGTTGGTTGTGTCAGATGTGGTAAATATTGTCTGCGCCCTAACCGACTCTTGCACTACAACAACTGCAACACCTTCCAGATGGGAAAAATAAAAATGATTGGTGGTGCATGCAGCGACTTCAATCGGAGCTACATCGCCAACGTGTCAGTGGTGGAAAAGAATTCCAGGATATATTTTAACACATTCCTGCTACGAACTTTGGATACGGGCGTCACGATGGACTTGGGGTTCCTCATAAGCCTTCAGAAGTCTATGGACTACCACAGCATCTTCCAGTACTCGCTGAACATGTGCAGCATACTGTCGCTGAAGAAGATCAGCATGTTCAAGCGATGGTTTTCCACCTTTTTCGAGGCAGGTAACTTTCCGCGATACTGTCCCGTGCATCCCGATCACTACTATCTGCAGGACTACAACTACAACACGCTCCTTATTCCCACTTTCCTGTATGCGGGACATTATAAGGTGACATTTAACATGACACAGTACAAGGATAAGCGGAAAACGAGAGACTTTGTGATCGCCTGCGCCTTCTATGTGGAAATAAAGTAACGGACATGTTGGGGTCACATGTTCCCATAAATCTGTCTGCGGCCTTCAATTATAATCAATTTAGTCGAAATTGGTCAGTTCGTTCAGCATATTACATATCGACTCTCATTCTGTGCCCGTCATTAGCAGGGAAATGTTGAATTTATTCACAATTATTTCGCTGCTTTTCCTGCACCATTTGGTGGTCCCACAGGCCGTGAGTATTGCATGGGAGATCGCTGGGATACGCTAGCCTGCAGGGATAACAGGGATTTGTGTCCCCAGTCAGCCTTTATCTTTCAGACGGGCAAGTGCAGATTCAATGAGAAGTACTTTGATAACTTCACGCTGGAAATCGTTAACAATACCATGGAATTGGACATGGTGACGCCCAGGACGATTCATCGAGGCCTCAAGGTTCTCATTGATGTCCAGATCAGCCTCGACAAGGAAAAGAGCTACCAGCGGCTCTTTGCTCACATCCTGGACACCTGCAGCATTGTCTCCTCGGTGAGGACCAGCATGTTCAAGAGCTGGTTCGACAGCATGCGAAAGCACGGCAACTTCATGACCAACTGCCCAGTGCCAGCGGGCCATTACTTCCTGCGAAATTGGAAGCTGGAGTCCAATCTCGTGCCGCACTATCTGATGCCCGGCGACTACCGTGTATTGGTCCACTTTTTTTACGGCAAGCAGAAGACCAGCCATGAGGAGTTTGTACTCGACATGGACATCTACGCGATGATTAGGAAATCATAGATAAGAATTGCAGTCTGCGGACTTACACTGAATTTGATTCACAATTAAAAATCGGGTATTAGGGGCAAAGTCTATGCGTACTCGTAGATATATTCCAGTGCGCCATTTCAGAGTGATCGCGAGTGGAAATGTCAAAGAAGGCAGATGAATGAATCATCCAACGACTAGAAAACAGAATCTAACAGGCTCTTCCATTGCCAGAGATTTCGGTGACGATGTCTGACCCACATTGCCATAATTTACTCCGCGGGGCCGTCAATTATAATCAATTTAGTCTGGAACGCAGTTCAATGAGTGACCGAATGGAAATTATATATCGAGTCTCATTTTGCAGCCGTCATTAGCAGGGAAATGTTGAAATTGTTTGCCATTATATCGCTGCTTTTCTTACACCTTTTGGTGCCTACGCAGGCAGTGAGTATATCCTGGAGGAGTATTGCCAGTCGGCAGGAATAACAGAGATTTGCTTCCCCAGTCCACTTTCATCTTCCAGACGGGCAAGTGCAGATTCAATGAGAAGCACTTCAATAACTTCACCCTGGAAGTCATCAACAATACCATTTACTTGGACATGGTGATGCCCAGGACGATTAATCGGGGCCTCAAGGTCCTCATTGATTTCCAGATCAGCCTGGATAAGAGAAAGAGCTACCAGCGGCTCTTCGCCTACATACTGGACGTCTGCGCCGTGGTCTCTTCGGTGAAGTCTAGTATGTTCAAGAGCTGGTTCCTAAGCGTCCTCGAGCACGGCAACTTCATGGCCAACTGCCCAGTGCCAGCGGGCCATTACTTCCTTCGCAACTGGAAGCTGGATTCCAATCTCGTGCCGCACTACATGATAGCCGGCGACTATCGCGTGTTCGCCCACTTCTTCTACGGGAAGCACAAGACCAGACATGAGGACTTTGTCCTCGATATGGACATCTACGCTGTAATGAAGGCAGCCTAGATTTGGAACTGAATTTGGCTCTTAGATAATTCGAGTATAAGTACCAAAGTCTATAAATAAAGCAATTCCCAATGCGTAATTTGAGTGTAATTTAAAACCAATTAGCAAACTGGATGCGTGTGCAACTGAATCACAAATGATCCAGCAATAAAATAAACTTTTCATTGCACTGAGACCTCAAATCGGGAGCAGTTATGTCAAAGTTCATCCTCGTTTATCTCCTTGCTTTGCCAATGGCTCAGGTAAGTATTGGGGGAGAGCGCGAGCAGAAATCTAACAGCCTTTCTCTGTCATTGCCAGCCCAGTTCGGTGAGCTTGAGCCGCGTCCAATGTGAGAAGAATCCAAAGTATTTCAGAACCCTGAACGTCACGCTCGCCAACAACACCATCATGGCGGATATATACCTTGAACAGGGCTTGAAGGCAGGCTTCCGAGGCCACATAGATGTCCAACTGCGGCTGACGAATGGCAAGAAGTTTCAGAGCCTGGTCCAGACCGACACGGACTACTGTGAGCTGCTCTCGAGCCTCAAGGAATCCCTATTCCGACGCTGGATCAAGAGCATGGCCAAGAACAGCAACTTTATGGAGAACTGTCCCATACCGCCAGGAGCCTACTCTCTCAAGGGCTTTACTGTGGACATGGGTCTGGTTCCCACGTACCTCCTGAACGGCGATTATCGCTTGCGTGCTCTGGTCTACTACGGAAAGTATCGCACAAAGAGCCGGATATTCCTTCTCGAGTGCATGCTCGAGGCATCAATGCAGAAAAATTAAATAAAGTAACACGCGATAGTAATTACTGTTATCAAAGTATTTCGATCTATCAATCAATCTCGATGTTTCAATCAGAAACTCATTAAATTGCTCTAATTTCGTTGGTTACAAATGTTCGGCTCATTGGCAAAGTTCCCCTTGACATCATACAGCGATGTTTGTGCCAAAATTTGGTCCAATATTTGTGACTTTTATGGCTTTGACAGCCCTAAATAAAAGTGGTCTGGTACGTACCTCAAGTTTATATATAACGTATCATCTGACCATCCATCATTGCGTTTTACAGGCCAGCAGAATGACCTTCAAGACTGCAGAATGCAGATACAACCGGCAGATATTCTCAAACTTCACAGCACAGATAATTAACACCAAACTTTTAATGGATATGGTCCTCGTTTCGACACTTTCGCAAGGACTAAAGGCGCACTTGGGCTTCGAGTTCCGCCGGTACAAGGCAAAGCCCTACCAGAGTGTATTCCAGCACGACATAAACTACTGTGCCCTGATCAAAGGGGCACAGGAGTCTATCTATCGGCGCTGGTTCATGTCCATGCTCAAGGTGGGAAACTTTTCCACGAGCTGCCCCATCGGAACGGGCTACTACTACCTACACGGCTGGACGTTGGACGCCGGCTACATCCCCTCTTTCTTTTATATAGGCGACTACCGCATCTCCGGTAGATTCTTCTACGGTAGGTTCAAGAAGAAAGAAGATAACCCCATACTGGAATGCTCTATAGAAGCCGTGCTAAGCTAAAGTTAAATAAAGATCATTTTATAGGGTTTATTACTATATATTCTGTACTCGAAGCAGTTATTTAAATAGCTCCCAAGATATGGGCGGGGGAAAAATTACAGTTGAATGAGAATATAAATATATAAAAAACAATTCGGTACATTTTAAGTCTTTTTACCCAAGGCCGGCTTTACGGCGGAGCTCCGTTTCTTCCTAGCTGGATAGAGGACGCCAAGTGTCGTCGTGGATGTGGACCGATGTACGTTTGGGTAAAAAACTGTAGCGAAACTTCACATCTGAAGCTTAGTGCCCTGAGAGCCTATCGATATTTGTGTGCCATTTCTAGTTTTCTGTATAAAATTTCAAAATTTCAATTTCAGTTAAAAGAATCCCTGAACTATGGTGAGAGTGCCTCTGCTAGTGTGAAAATTCGGCAGAAAGTTCTAACAGGTCGTCCGTTACTTTTCTCATTCTCTTTCCCTCTCGCTCTTATAAAAGAAAAACACCTAACAACTGCCTCATGGCGACCGATATATACGTATATCTATCTCACTCTCCTATGTTTATGCATTTATGTACATATGTGTCTCTTTATATTCTTTTATCTATATTTTCCTTATTAGAAGGAATCAGGGATTCAGGAATCAGAAGTTTGGCGATAAAGTATCTTCATAAGATTTCTAGATTTGAGCATTAAATACAATTTCATTCATTTCAATCAAAAGAAAACATGCTTATGTTTACATTTTGTATAGGCAAAGATTAAACTTTGATTGTATTTTGTTTTCGCGATTTTAGGAGCAAGGTCCCGTACATCGAACATTTACCATACTTCATATATTATTTTTTTAAATAATTTTAAATAATTTAGAGAAAGATTTACTTTACAAAAATATATTTTAGTATTGTTAAATTTTAAAGCCGATCCGCAACACTTATCAGAGGTTGTCATGGTAAACGGACGAAATTTTAATAGAATAACAAGCGCGGATTTTTACTGATATCAAAGTATTCAAAGCAATCACGCAGCTTGTACCACCAGCCCCCTAAATTTTAGTGATTACAAATATTGTGTTCTCTGACATCAGTTTGTATTGACAACATTCAGCGATGCTTGTCCAGAGACTTGTTCCGATTTTTGTGGGTTTTACGGCTTTGACAGCCTTAAGTGAAAGCGTCCTGGTAAGTACATCAAATCATATCAAATGGATCTTCTGAAAATGTATCATTCAATTACAGGCCCGCAAAATGATCTTCAAGACAGGCGGCAGCAGATACAACCCGAAAGTATTCTCCAACTTCACGATCCAGATCATTAATACTAAACTGATGATAGATACGGTCATCATCTCCCCCCTTACGCAAGGTCTGAAGACGCACTTAGGCTTCCAGTTCCGCCTGTCCAAGGACAGGCCCTACCAGATTATATTCCAGCACACCATTAACTACTGTTCCATGGTTAAAGTGGAGTCGCTTTATCGGCGCTGGGTGACGTCCATGCTCAAGGTGGGAAACTTCTCCTTGAGTTGCCCCATCGGGAGGGGCTACTACTACCTACACGGCTGGTCGCTGGACGCAAGTCAAGTGCCCTCGTTCTTCTACCTGGGAGACTACCGCATATCTGCAACATTATTCTACGGGAGGTTCAAGAAGAACGATGAGAATCCCCTTCTAGAATTATATATGGAAGCCGTGCTGACCTAAGGTTTCCAATTAGATGTGGATCTCTCTCATACAGAGGAAGTGGTTAGGTTATACTTATATCTGACCGTCAGGCCTCATTGCACGAGGTAATAAATGTATTTGGTAGTTTAAATATTTCCCACTTTGCTTAGGATCGCAACATCAGATTCACCGCTGCACAATGGTCCCAAAGTCGATTTTTTTTTGCAAAAAATCTAAAAATATTGATACATACTTGAAAATTTTGCAAAATTGTCAAAATATCCTCGAGTCAAGTGGGTTGAGAAATGTATCAATCAAAGGCATTTTCTGCTAGTACGAAAATTCATCCTAACCATTTTCCGGAAGGCCGTTTTATGAACTAGGTGAACTTTTCTTTGTTTTTTTTTAGTTCGTTTTGGAACATGTTTCGGGATAAATGGCCAGACAAGCCATAACCAAAATGGCCTTATTTCTCAAACTTGGGTCGAATGTTCGATTTAAACTGGTGGATCGATCGGGCTATGGGGGCTTAGGACCGATTTGCTGGCAGTAAAGAATTTTATATTTCAAAAACAATTGCACAACAGTCTTAATCCTATTGTTAGTGAAGGATACTGTGGAAATTTGATTTCTATATCTCTATATGTTGTATATGCATCTAGGTATGTATATATGTACATTGTACATACTGTGTAGTTAGTGGTAGCATGTGTCAAGCAAAAGTATCGCACCATTTTTAAGCTCTACCACATGAATGAACATCATGATGGATGAAGTTATGCTTTATGATCACTAAACATGTGCGTTCTGCATCACTGATCCGAGATCAAGTCATGGGAAACAGACCAAATATTAATAGAATAACAAGCGCGGCTTTTAACTGATATCAAAGTATTGAAATCAATCACGCAGCTTGAACCACCAACCCTATAAATTTAAGTGATTAAAAATATTGTGTTCTCTGTCATCAGTTTGTATTGACAACATTCAGCGATGCTTGTCCAGAGACTTGTTCCGATTTTTGTGGGTTTTACTGCTCTGACTGCATTAAGTGAAAGCGTCCTGGTAAGTGCATCAAACTTAATCAAACGGATCTTCTGACAATGTATCAATCAATTACAGGCCCGCAAAATGATCTTCAAGACAGTCGGCAGCAGATACAACCCGAAGGTATTCTCCAACTTCACGGTGCAGATCATCAATTCCAAACTGAAAGTAGATACGGGCATCATCTCTCCCCTTAGGCAAGGAGTGAAGACGCACTTAGACTTCGAGTTCCGCCTGTCCAAGGACAGGCCCTATCAGATTATATTCCAGAACGACATAAACTTCTGTGCCCTGATCAAAGGGGGCCGGGAGTCGCTCTATCGTCGCTGGTTCAAGTCCATGCTGAAGCTGGGAAACTTTTCCACGAACTGCCCCATCAGGAGGGGCTACTACTACCTACACGGCTGGTCGCCGGACGGAAGTCAAGTGCCCTCTTTCTTTCTTAAAGGCGACTACCGCATATCTGCAACATTATTCTACGGGAGTTTCAAGGCGAACGATGAGAATCCGCTTCTGGACATATTTATTGAAGCCGTACTGAACCAGGTTTGAGTCAGGCCAATTAGATATGTATCTGTTCCCAGACAGAGGAAGTGGTTAGTTTATATCTGACCGTCAGGCCTCAATGCATGAGTTAATAAATATATTTGCTACGGGAATAATTTACCAAGCCGACTAGGTTTAGACTGGGTTTAGTTAGGCGAAATGGGTCGTCCGTGGATGTGGATCCTACAGCTTATTCAGTTTCTGTTTCTGCTTTCCGTAGAGGCGGTGAGTATACTTAAGCGAAATCAACATCGAGTATCTGTCTCTCTGTCCCGTCAGGATCGCAACATCAGATTCACCGCTGGGGAAAGTCGGTTTAACCGCGAATACTTCGACAACTTCTCCTTCAGCATACGCAACGATCAGATCTTTCTAGAGATGAACCTGCGGCAGCCCCTGCGGCGAGGATGGCGGGCGCATCTGGATTTTCAGCTGCGAGTGGGAAACTCGAAGAGCTTCCAGAGCCTCTTCTCCACCAACGTGGACGTGTGCCACATTGTGAACGCCGCCAAAATTAATCTGTTCAAAAAGTGGTACAAGAACCTGCTCAAGTACGGCAACTTTCTGCGCCAGTGTCCCCTTAGTGCGGGCCACTACTATCTGAGGGGCTGGCAGTTTGGGGAGGGCCTGGTGCCGCCATTCATAACCAGCGGATCGTACCGACTGCAGACCTACAACTTCTATGGCAAATACAAGGGCAAAGACGAAGACTTCATAATGAGCTGCACGGCCGATGCCATCATCCATATCTGATATGATTTCCGATGCATCTCGCTTGGCTAATGGCTAATGACTTGGAAATAAATGCTCCCTCCAAGTCCATAATTGGTTTTGATATTTTTTCTAATTTTTCATTTGAGTTTGGTCGCGGGCTTTGAAATGTGGAAATTGCTTTATTACTCCGTGATTATTTTGCTCTTCTTTGAATCGTGGCTTGTTGATGGGGTGAGATCTCTCCGGTTCCTCTCTTCTAACCGATGCACCTGCTTAAGCTTTTATCTCTTCCAGGAACGCAGCGTGGAATTCGTAGCAAGCAACTTTACCTACAACCCGAAGTATTTCAGGAACTATTCCCTGACCATTACCAAGAATATGATGAACATGGACATGGACCTAAACAGACCCATTACGAGGGGCTTTAAGGCACATTTGGACATACAGCTGCGACTGGCCAATGCCAAGAACTTCCAGTCCGTCTTCAAGCAGGTGACCGATGTCTGTGCCGCCACCTCGACTATGAAGAACAGTCTCTTCAAGTCGTGGTTCAAGGACATGACGAAGCACGGCAACTTCATGTACAACTGCCCCGTCCAGCTGGGCCGCTACTACATGCACAACTGGCGCATGGGCAGCTCCATGACCCACAGGTTCCTCATTCCGGGCGAGTACCGCGCCAACGTCGAGTTCTTCTACGGGAAGTACAAGACCAAGTCCTACGAGGAAACCATCACCCTGATGATTGATGCGATCCTGTCGAATTAAAAGACACTCTCCATGAACGCAATAAAAATCCGAGCTCGGCTATAGTTCAAACATAATCGATGCAATACTCGTAATGATGTTGACACTTCCTGCAGCCAGGCAGCCAGCCATCGAGAATGCAATCATTACTGCTCCATCTTCGCCCCATCCCTGCCACTTTGTCGCCCGGCTGCGTCTGCAGCGGATGGAGTGGGGTGGTGTCAGCAATTTCATGACGAGATATAATAATATCCTGTACAAGGCTGCAACATGTTGCACGGCATGGCGTTGATTATCGAGGCGGAGAACGGGTGAAAGATGCTCCGAGTGGAACATTCAATTTAGCTGCAGTGTCCTCGTCGTCTGCCTTTTGTGTCTTTTGCATGGATCGCAGCTGTCGCATGCAGCAAAAGACACAGCAGAAAAATCGCACAGAAAAATAGTAAGAACGGTATACCGTATTGTCGATATGGCGACTGGACAATAAGATACCCTACCCACTACTCGGATATAATTATAGTGCACTAGATACAATGGGCTCAAGCAATCTGCTTCAAAAAACCAAACGTTATTTTCCACGTTATGGCTTTAATATTTATTCTTTTATTTCAGAATTTATTTGCACAAATATACCCCAGTTCTCAACGATTAAATGGTATGGTAAGGATACATTAGGCGACAACTGTTAACGCTTTCTTTAACTGCATTTGACTTGTCCTCGCATTCAGCAGCAGCTCCTTCCGATGTGTCGAGTGGGGTGGGTGGGATGTGTGTAGCGTTTAACTTTATCGCTTCCTAATTGCCGACGCCCGTTTACCACCCACTCTCTGGGCGGTCCACATGCCCATTTGCCCAAGGCCTTTGTGCTCGCCAATTTGTTTCGATTCCCGCTGGTATAATTATAGGTTGTATGATGATGATCCCCAACCAACACCAACCCCCAACGACTCCTCCTGTTCCTGCTCCTGCTCCTGCTCCTGACAACGCCTGCAGACATGTCTGATGACTAATGAGAGTATGTCAGTGGGAGAGTGAGTGAAAGTCAGGTGAGGCTTTGCCTAATTAGTTCAAATGCCCAACGAACCATCTAATTGGAGGCCTTTGAAATGATGCCACAGAATGGCTACAAATTGATTCAATTTATTGTATATTCTTCTGGGTTAGGGCCAAGCCCATAAGCCCCATCGAATGATAGTGGTCTCCAGCCAGCCCCCCAGATCCAATGCCAGCGATTCGGTCGGTTTCCCCTTTGTAAATCAATTTCACGCCAAACAAACATTAAACGTTATTTAACACAAAGTGCGACAACTGCGACAAGTATAATGATGGCAATTTCCTTGAGTACACGATGCCACTTCTCCTGTTTCCAGTTCCCATCCTGATGCCTCCTCCATTTGTTTCAAAAGCAGCTCCTGCTGCTGCTCCTGCTCCTGCTCCTGCTCCTGCTCCTGCTCCTACTCCGTCTTGAACTCCGGATCCGGCTCTGGTTGCATTGGCCCTGCCCTGGCTGGCGTTTGTTCTTCCTTTTGGTTGCGTTCGATTCCTTCGACAAAATACAAGAAATTGCGCTTTGCCCCATCATTGCTGCAACGGAAGTGCAATTGATGGCAAATCCGAGCTAGGGCAAAGAAAAGGAGCCAGTGCGAACGTGTCGAGAGGAAAGGACGATGACGATGGCAAGGAGCAACTTGTCGATGGAAAAAATACTTTGTCCCCAAACTATTATTGACAGTGTTTAAATTATTTTGCGCTTAGTTTGCCCGCACTCGCATAAATCGCAGCCACGTCCCGTACTCGAACCTGTGTCCGTGTCCGTCACGGTGTCCATGTCCGTGTCGGTGTCCGTATCCTTGCTGGAGAGCTCATTAATTTATTTATGCGAAATGCACGTGCAACGATTTACTCGATTGGAAGTGAGAAATTGTGTTAGCCAGTGGAGATTTGAGCTCTTCAATGATTCATTGCGTTTTAATGTGACAAATTTGATGGCTCCCCAGAGCTCCCCTCACTTCACCTCTTTTTGATATCCACATAGATAATAGTGTTTGTTAGATTATCGTTGTGCCACTGCCTCATGTAAACGTTGGAGTCGATGCTGAAGCTCCCCGAACGTATGAACCGGGGAATAGTCTCCTTATCCGATTGAATATTCAGCATGGTAAAGTTGCCCTGTACACAAAGCCTCAATTGAAATGTATAGTTTACAATTATAGAAATGGTTTCCTACCTCCTTGAAGGGACATTGCCTGGGCATATTGGAATTCCTCATGACGTTGTCCAACCAGAAATCGATGATGCTCTGGCCCTTTTTCTTGCCCATTATGTGGCACAGATTGACATCATAAGTGAAAACGTTCCTGTAGCTATTTTCCTTCTTGGACACGCGCTGTGCCAGCGTGGCCCTCAGCCAGACATCCACCGTGATGGTACGCATAATATTTAAGGTAAAATTTATGGTCGTAAAGTCCGCACTCACCGATGCCTCATAGTTCGACACATATTTGCTGTTGTAATCGGTGACAATCCTCCGAAAGAGCAGTAAATTTAAGGGCTGAGAGATAGCTTCAAGCAGGAGTCACAAATAGCGATATTTATGAGGATCCTTTTACCTTATGTCCCTCCAGCAAGTTGCAGGCACTGCAGAGCAGCAAACCAACAAAAAGAGCTCTAAAGATCGCCGCCATCGCTGACGTTTCCCTTTCGCTGATTGAATTCGATTGGATTGAGTTTCGACTGGCAATTCATGCCCAACTGGAGGCTGCTCTATTATAACATCATCAATTTTCCATTTACCATATATTCCCCATCAAGATCTGTCCCACACAGAACTATCAGAGGCAGAGATCTGCCGTCCATCTTGCCGTTGTGTTGTTATTGGAACCCCTTCGGTGGGCCGCTGCTGCACTCCCAGGTACTGTCCATCCATACTGTCCAGGCCTCTCAGCGTAATTAAATTGGACTGTTGAGAAGTTTTTGGCCCCAACCCACCACGCTACTGGGCAGCAGCCCATATAATTTGTTAGAGACTGACGCTAAAAATATGATAAATTACCGCTTTTACGGGCAGCAGGCAGCAGAGCAGCAGAGCAGCAGGCCGCATAAATTCAAAAAGAGCCGCTATTTGCTGCTAACCAAATCTTAATTATAAATCTAAAGGAAGCACTTGGAACCCAAAAAACAAAGGACACAAAAAAATGAGAAAGAAATTACCGCAAGCGCAGTGCTGGAGCAAGAGCAGCAGGAGGACACGGGGGGAGGAATGAAATGATGATTTAATAGAATGGTCTGCGGGCACCGCCAGCTGCATAGCTGCCTGGATGGCTGCCTGGATGGCTGCCTGGCTGCCTAGCTGAGCCGAATGAATGGGAACTGGACAAGGACCCGGACCCGGACCGGGACTCTGACTCGAACGAGGAGCAGGCGGAAATGACTCTATAAGCTGCTGCAACCATAAACCGGAAGTTAACAGACTTTCGCTGATGTGGCACTTTTCAGGGTGCTGCTGCAGCAGGACTTCTCTCTCTGCGACTCCTCCTCGACTCCTCGACTCCTAGACAGACACTCGGTCGACACGCTCGGCGGGGCAGCCTGCAAAATTGTGACAGCGCATGGCCGCAGGATAATCAAATAATTTTTTTCCCTCACAGTCTTCAGCATTTTTTTTTTTCTCTGGTCTGGACTGGTCTGGTCTGGGACTCCTGCTGGCTCGTTGAATTATTGTTGCAACATTGCCACAAAATGCTAATTGCCCCAAACGATACGATCGAAGCAGAGGAACCACCAACCGAAGCAAGAACTTGGTCCCCCATTCGGATAAGGTTCGGGTGGGGCCTTTTGGGGTGCAAAAACTTTTCCAAATTGCAACTGTCATTGATTTTGCCTCATTTTGACAGTTTCCATTTGCTCTTGAGGGTCTTTCGGGGCATTCTCTCTTCTGCATGGTGCCCTGCTCTTATCGCAATCTGTCAAAGATTGGCAAATTGCATTGGCTTAAACATTAATAAATCACATGGAAAATGTCCTGAAAACTTTTCCGCAATCTAGAATCGAGGCAAAGGTGTGCGCGTGCTCTCTATGAATTATGATGGGGTCCCTTCTGCATCGCTGATAGCTCTGGACTGCTGCAGAGCCACTCCCACTCGTCCAGTGCGATCCTTAACTGCTGCAATTGTACAGCTATTAAAAATATTTACGCAACACAATCGCATGCTCAATTTCATTTGTAAATGTTTACGCCCGAAATGTTGGCAATAAATGTGGAAATAAATTGTAAATGAATCGGAAGAGGGCCAGGGATTGTTGTGGCATTGTTCTGTTAGTGAATGGCGGAAGAAGGCCTGCTCCGCGTGGATTGCTCTGCCACTGAATGGCGCAGCGGAGCCTGCTCTTTTTTACATAAAAATCGAGTTAATTCCATGTTGTACATTAGCCTTGTTCGTAAGGAATGGGAACAACTTTAACCGCTCCCCAGCCAACTGGAGACGCTCACAGAGTTAATGAGGAACCAGCAGCAGGAGCCGCAGCGGCAGACACGTGGAGCACTCCGAAAAAGTTCGTCCACATTCCTTCAATGGATTGCCGGAGAGACGGGTGACACTCCTCTCTCTTCAAGAAGCGCCTGCTGTTCGGAATAATGACGATGATTCCTCCGTTGATTTGAATTGTGATTAAAATGCAGCGTATAATTTCTGCACCCTGTTCCCAGTTCCGTGGAGTGTCTGAGTCGCTGGCAGCATGTGCGCCCTGACGCGCGTGGGTCCGGGACCGGGTACGGGTCCGGGTGGGCTCCCAAGAAGTTTTGTGCCTCGTTTCACACTTTGTCTGACGGTGCAGAAATTCCGGAGAAGCAGAAGAATGCGGCAACGTTGTGGGAAGTTGAAGAAAAATTGCAAAAAACCGCAACTCGTGTCGACTTGATGTTAGAATAATGAAGAGGCAAAACTTTTGCGCAAGGCATGTAATTTTTCGCTGTGACAGCCGGCCGTAGTCCTGTCTCTCTCTTTCTCTCGCTGCTACTCAGCACCTACACCACCCAGCCGGGCTCCCCCCCCACCGGAAACGGAAGTTGTCATTCGTTTTGTGCATTTGTTAAAAAGTTACAGCTAAAAACAGAAGAAGAACAGGCTTGGAAGCGGGCGAAAAGAAAGGCAAAACGAAAACAAAACCAAACAAAAAAAAAACTCGAAACAAAAACTGCATGAAAACTTCTGTTGCAGGATCTCATTTGTTGCAGTTTTTCTTGTCTATTTTTTTGGGGCATTTCCAGTGTATTTCCACTGTAACTATTTCTGTTTTGGTTAGGCCTAACACTTGGAATAAAGTCCATCTGTGGACCCTCCCGCCCCCTGCCTTTCATATAAATCACAGCGGACGGAGCACACGGCCAGACAGACCGTAGAGCCGTTGTGGAGTCCGCGTAGAGGCCGTGTTATAAATGCGAACAATGACACAATTGATTGGCCAATTACGTGCGCTTCGGGGTGATTATGACGTTACGTTACGTTAGGCGAGGCACATCAGAGTCGAAATCTCGGAAGGGCCGAACATGGTGGGAGGGTGTGAGTGTGCGTGTGCATGTGTGTGTGTGTGTGTGTGTGTGGATGTCTGTCATGCCTGGCTAAATTTACACAATTAAATGCGTGAAATTCGTTTGAATAATTGACCAATTTTTCGGTAACTGCGTTGAAATGGGGTAGAAAATCCCAAGAGTGGGGGACTTCAAGCCATATTTGTTTTAAAGGTTTACAAGGTTCCGCCATTAAGGAACGACTGAGCACTTCATAAAGCGATCTGTGAGTACGAGGCCATAAAATATGCAACCAAAATCTGAACCATTCAGCGAGATAAAATTTCCTTAAAGCCGAGTCAACAACCGAGTCGAGGATGCGACAGCGGTGGCCAGAAAAAAAGCGCTACGAGTATGGCCAACTTTATGGCCAATGGTCGAGAGCCGAGAGAAAGCCGCAGCTAATTTATTTGCAGGCCGGGCCATTTATGCGACACAGCAGCAAGCAGGCAAGCAACAGCAGGACACGGGTCTGGAGACGCAGCAGCAGCAGCAGCAGCAGCAGCAGGAGCAGGACCAAGCACTTCATTGTGCAGTGGCTCGTTTAAAACGCTGATTCAGTTTCATCATTAACCAGATTAATATGGCATGGCCAGGGCCCTGACAGGGCTGTGCTCGCCTGTAACCCGAAACCCCAACACCCCTTTCTGGTAATGGTAATCGATGCGGATGCGGATGTGGATGTGGAAGTGGATGTGGAGGGTCATGCCATGCCATGTTCTAGTCATTGCCCTGCGAAATGGCCATGTGGTCGTCCATTGCAGGGGCACTTGAAGTTTATCGCTTTGCAGTTTGCCTAGCACCACGCCACACTACGCGGCGTATGCGCAATATTCGAGGCAATGAATTTTTATGCGCCAACCCCCCCCCCCATAGTTGGATGGCTGGTTGAATGGGAGGGGAGGCTCAGGGATTTCGGCTAATTTGTCCAACGCATTGCCCTGCCTAATTGGCCATAGAAATATGCGAAGGGCATAGGTTAGGGAAGAGATTTGCATTCCATCGATGGGTTCTATAAAGTGCAGCTATTTCCCGCTTCTTTTACGTAGATAAAACCATCGAGTTGTGGGGTCATTTTCCTCTGTTTTTTTCTTCTTTCTGATTTACAATGAAAATTGTTTCTTAGTAGCGGATTATGAGGCATCTGCTTCCATCAGATCCCCCACCTACCTGACCCGCAGTGCTTCCTCAACCCGCTTCCTCACCACACTGATTGCAATTGCAGAATATTTCCGGCTCTTTTTTCCCTCGCCCTTGCCACGACCCAAGCCAACAGTTTATTTAGTATCTCTGGCAGCAGCAGCAACAGCGCCAGCACCAGCAGCCGCGTGGAATTGTGATAATATTTGCCAGGAAAAGTATTTACATTTGACTCAAAAGTTGGTAGCTTCCACCAAGGGAGGCGCAAAGGAGGCGTGGCTGGAAGGAGTTCAGGCTTCAACGCAATCACAGTTTTCGACATTTTACGAAATTGTATCGGCGTCGAAGTTTTCTTTGCCGCTTATTTGTTTGTTGTTCTTCCCGGTTTGCTTTTTATTTTATTTTATTTTTTTCTCTCGTGAGAGAGCTTTACGCGAAATAAGAAAAGTTTTTGGCTTTTATTTAAACAAATTTCTGGCGCAGACATGCGTGGCAATTCTTTTCAAGTTTTTCCCGGCAGTTGGAAATACTTCAAATGTTGCAATTTGGATTTGAAAGCGAGCTAGTGGAGGTGGAGAGGCCAAAAAGTGGTCAAAAGATACAAAAGATACAAAAGATATTTCCTGATAAAATTCCTTACCCAACCAATTGCCAAATTCAAGCACACCGGCGGTCGCATCCCCCAACGCCCCCTCAAGTGGTCTAATAGGCCTGAGAGTAGCGGCGGCTCCAACTCGTTAGGCTGGAAAAATATTATCTAATAAGCAGGCAGACGACGGAACGGAACAGAACGACGGCAGGCCACAAAGGTCTCAACGAGGACGAAGCAGGGACAGAGACATCCTCCAAGCAGGCAGACAGACATACAGACAGACAGACAGACAGATAGACGGAGAGGACAGGGCCACCAATTAAATTTCACCCGCATCAATAATCATGAAAGCAAGAATTGCCAAAAGCCTAGCAAAAAATGTCTCTCTTTTCCTGTGGATATATACGCGAGTACTACTATATCCTGCAGAAATGCCACATAAAACGAAAGCGCGAAATTAAATGGTGGTACGATGTGAGGGTAAATGTATATCCCCCTTGTCCTCGGCAGACTTGAAGTCGACAAGCGTGTAAATGATATAAATTCAATTTAATAAAATTGTTAAAATCGCAACGACGAACGGTACGAGCTGTGCAAATGCTTTGCGCGCAGGTGAGCTGAAAATTGCTGTGAAATTTTTAGTGCCCAGGCAGTGTTCCGTTTTCCTTCTTCCTGCTTCCTGCTGGTCTGGTCGTGGATGGAAGAAGTCACTCCCAGGACGACTACAGCGGAAGGCAAAGGCGGAAATAAGCGTGAAAATTCCTAGCAATTATTTCACACAAAGTGGTAGAAGTGAGAGTCGTAGATGGAGTCAGAGTCGTTGGTTGTAGCATGTCCTGTCGTCTCATCGTCTGGCTGGTAGACCCTCCTGCCTGGCTGCTTCATTGTGCTCTGTCAGTGCTTTCAGGGGGGTACAGGGAGGCACAGAAGAGCAGCAACAGCATAAAGACGACCCAGACGGAAGCTCTCGACCAATATAGCTTTGATAGCATTTTAAGCGGCTTGCGTGAGTTTCATTCTCTCGCCTTAATGTCACGATAATCGCATAATTTTCAATCCCCCTGGACACTGGCGCTGAGAGAGGGTTGTCGAGCTGCTGTCGAGCGAAAGAAGGTTTCCTTCCGACAGCCTATTATGCCCCATTCCCCCCAGACTATCCATTCGCCTTATGGCATATTATTTTTGTCGAAATTGTCTTATTAAATTGTTTTTGAAAAGCGCGCACGTGACTTTGTCTTTAATTTCCGTCGGGGAGCAATGGTACGAGCCAGGGGTATTTCCTGGAGCTCATCTGTTGCTCGTCGATGGTAAAATTTAATAATCAATTCGTATACATGAGAATATCCCACAGATAATTAACCTCAGTTGAGTATTCTCCACTCAAATCTCTCAACAGTACCATCCATCCACATCCACTCCACCATACAGCGCAATTAGTTGGCCAGCACTCCACTTATCACGCCACAGCTATATGCCACTCATCCTACAAATGCACGAGGATGCAGCTCTCCTTGAGGAGACACACACCCACACTCAGTGCCACATCCCGACCGCCCTTTTGGGCTGCGGTTGTCTTCATGTCTAATTTAGCGACATTTTATTGTACTTTTCACCACAATCGCTTTCCATTGTTGTAATACAATTTTCTTGTCGCATTTTAGCCAAGCTATTCCTATTCTATGCCATTTTATTTTAGTTCATTTCATTTCGGTTCATTGTTGCCCCATCCTCAATCTGCCTCCGCCGCCTTCCCCTCCTTTTGTTCAGCTTAATGTTGGCCGCAAAATGTTGTTTTTCTTTGCTCGAGGGGCTCTCGTGCCAGTCCGGGCCTGTCCGCCTAAAAGCATGCTACATATTCCGAAATGTTTTGTGTCGCTTGCACATTTTCACAAAATTGTTGGGTGGGCGTGGCCCTGCAGCGCCCTCTAACCCGGTCCGCCCATAACTCAGCCGCAATAGCGAACTGTGACTGCGGCTTTGTCTGCACTTCTTCTCCACACCAAGCAAGCGATGAGGTTGGTCTGTCCCGGGTCTGTCCCTCTGTCTATCTGTCTGTCTGTCCGTTCAAGATAGTGCAAGAGTTATTGGCAAGCAATGTGGAGTACGAGTGTCCTTTGAAGGAGTCGTGTGAGTGTGCACCGCCGCATATGTTTTATTAAAATGCGCTCACATTTCGCTTTCAATTTGCAGACAATTTTCAACTCCTTTGCATACATTTTGAGGGAAACTCACTGACACACAGCATGCCTTATGCCTTATGCCTCATGCCCCATGCCTTAGTTGTTTAACTTTGGCAGTGAGTTTTATGGGTTGTTCTTCGAGGAATGTTTTGTGGGCCGCACAATCATTAAAAATGGCAAAGTCTTGGTCTCTGCCCAAGCAATTGTCACAAATCTGGAAACTACATTTGGCACCGACTACTTTTCAATGGTAATTACAACTTTTTCTGGCAATTAACGCAGCAACAGAATACGCTGCCTATAATTCTTCCTCTCTCACTCTCTGAAAAGAGTTCGAAAACTATGTAAAATAAATTACAATGATGCCTCAAGGAGGCAGAGTTCATTAATATTTATAACACAGCACATTCGGATCCATACAAAGGCCTCTCCTATATGGGTGTGTATGGTTGTGAGAGGATTGCTCGGAATGAAGAACAAAGCAACCAAATTAATTTAACGCCAACGAGGCCACAACCAACCAACCAACAACACCAAAAAAAAGCACAGAGGAGGAGAAGGGCCAAATCGAAAGGCTCTGCTCAGCGAAAGAAATCAACTGGGGGCCAGAGATAAAGAAGTGAAATGGAAAAAAAGTAAAGTTTCCTTTTTTCATCAGCTAGACAAAAGGGTGGGAGTTGGCAGGGGTGGATAGTGTGTGCACCCTGCCACACTTGATTGATTTCATTCTATATACGAAGCGATTTTCCAATTACAAAAGCGCTAAAATCAGCAGAAAATCAAAGGCCATCCAACAGTGGCACAAAAGTGGGCGAAATTCGTTGAATATCCTATTTCCACTAGAAGCTTCTCATTTCTCAGAATTACATTCCTTTTTTTTGTTTTTCATTCGAGAAAACTCGAATTACTTGCTTTATATGACACGAATATAATAAATTCGCCCATTTTATTTGTATGTTGGAAATAATATTCTATGGCCGGATGACATTAGACTTTGCCAACTTATTAACTTCAAAAGGAGAGACAGCCTTATGGGAACAGCATGCAGTGAGAGCGAGATCAATATATATCCCTCAGAAATGATCGAATTTTGCTGGCCTGGTTGCCGGTAGTGTTGGAAAACATAATTTCGTCTCATGTGGTGCCTCAGTTCTTCTACTGAAAGCCGGTCCACGTACTAATTTTGCAATCTTTCTTCACAGCAGAGTTAGCAAAGAAATAATTTTTCCCCCAGCGTTACACATATAGGGATGAGACAATACTATTAAATATATCGTAAGAAACATCGAAGCCAGCCTCGCCAAATATTGGTGCTTGTCTGATAGTTTTTCATTTCTGTATCGATAGAGTGTCGAGCCACATAAAATTTTACCAATTCGTCAAGTTTCGCTATTAAAATTGAAGTTTGTGCTTGGAAAATTCATTTTCAGCATTCAATTTAAACAACAAGTAAAGGTGAGTGTTGCATGGCATCAATTACAAGGGAAGAAAACCCGAAATCTGCACATCCAGAAGCTTCTTTAGAGCAAATAAAAAGATGTGCCGCACAGACGCATTCGCATGTGTGCATGTGTGTATGTGTGTGTGTGTGTGTATTTGTGCTTAAAAGCATCTGCTTTTGTGTGGAATTTTCTAGAACTGTTTCTACATTTCTGTACGTCACATGCATTTTCAGAAAAAAATCCATTGCGAATATGCCGAATATAAAACTGCAGTCCATGGATGGGGACATCTTCGATGTCGACATGAAGATCGCCAAGTGCTCGGGAACAATTAAGTTTATGCTTGAGGAATGCAAATTGGAGAAAGATGAGGCTATTGTGCCTCTGCCGAAGGTGAATTCCACGGTTTTGCGTAAGGTACTGATCTGGGCCGACTACCATCAGGACGATTCCGGGCCCACTGAAGACGACGACAACGAGAAGGGAACCGACAACATCATCTCGTGGGACTATGATTTCCTTAAGGTCGACCAGGGCACACTCTTCGAGCTAATACTGGCCGCCAATTATCTGGATATCAAGGGTTTGCTCAATCTGACTTGCAAGACCGTGGCCAACATGATCAAGGGCAAGACTCCAGAGGAGATACGTCAGACATTCAACATTAAGAAGAACTTCACTGCCGCCGAGGAGGAGCAGGTGCGCAAGGAGAACGAGTGGGCCGAGGACAAGTGAGACGGGTTAACAAGGCAGCGAGCGGTGGACCATCAGACCGCTCTCAGCTGCTGGCTGGTTACACATTAATTGAATTGAATAATTTAAATTAATTCGTTGTACGAACCCAATCATTAACTGTGTCAAACACAAATTAAAATACTATGCGCCTATGAGCACGAAGAAACAGCTTAGAAATCTCCTTCAGAAGATCACGTGTCGTGTATGTACTTGTGAGGCTATCGGCACACTGTGCCGCTGCTGCAGACTGGACTATCGATGGTGGCATATAAAATAAACTCGGCGCTCGAGTGGCCGCACAAAGGGAAGGCAAAAGAAATCGAGGCACGGCAGGAGGCCACACAGCCATTCAGCCAGCCCAGCCTAATTGCGGAATCAATGCGCCAGGGAATTAGTTTTCTGTACGAGTATACGTATACCAGGCAGCGGAGTACGTAATGCCATGATTTTAACTTTTCTTTCGCTACTTTTCCCGAACTGTAAAGCGGCATTAAAATGGCAATTACCGTTGGTGGGGTGTGGTGTGAGGCCTAAGACAGCGGACGCTTGGGTCAAGGCTGTACGACGAGTATTAATGAATTAACATGGCCAAATGGGCCTGGACAGCACTACAAATGGTACAGCTCTCGGCTGCCTGGCCTGCCTGCCTTTCCCCCTTAGTGCTTTATGAGCAAAGTTTTGCAATAAAAACCCCCAAAAGAAGCTCCCACGTGTTCGGCATGGAGAGTGCGCTGGCAATTAGTGCCAGGGAAAGGATTGGAGTTTGGGGTTAGCGATTTTCGGGCTGCATCTCCATTGTGTTGCCACGTTTCAAATGCATCCACGCAATTTGGGGAATCAAAGGGCCGTTAAATTGTACTACAGCGCATAACAAATTGGTTTTTTCGCCGGCAACATGTGCCCCAGACACTCGCAGACAAGCCTTTCTACTCAACCTCCACCCGCCTTGCTCCACCCATCCCCAACGAAGGCCGCAGAATTTGGTTCTGTTTGGGAAACTGTCAAGCCAGCCGCGACAAACGTTGCTCCCCGTGCTCCTGCTGCGGCTTCTTCTGATGCTGTTGCTACTGGGAGGAACATCGTTAATGTCATTGCTATTCTTGTCGTGCGGGTTGGCAGTGTCTGCCTGATATATTGTTATCATTTTAACAATGGAAATTATTTCATTACATTGTCTTCCGCGCCCCTTTATTATGTTAGACATTTCCCACTCAGCCAGGCGGGGCAGGCATTGCTGCTGGGAACCCTGACAGCAGATAGTTCTGCAGGAGTGGATTGCTCTTCTCATCCTCCTGCTCGTCCTCGTGACTGCTCCTGTTGATGATCCATTTCTGTATCATTTGACGCCTATTAAAAACTTTCACTGACTAAACAAAATGCAAAAGCAAAAGCAAAATCTTTTCGTTTCGTTTCGTTTCTTTCTTCAAATTTAATAAATCCTCGTGAACACGCTTTGAAGTATTCATTTTGCAAACTTTGCTGGAAAAATAAATGGAAACAAGTACAAATGCAATCAGTTGTAGATACGTACTAAGAGATACCTTGTAATACAGGGAAATACTTAACCAAAAAATATTCAATATATAAAACAAGAGGAGGAACCTTTATTTTCCAGGTAGAGTAAACCGATAAAGAGGATCTATCTATAAATAACGTCACAGTTTCCCCTTCCGAATTCCCCTCTTACAGCTCTAAACACAGTAAGGGGCTTATATCCCCTACCGATTAATGGGTATCAAAAAAGAAATTCATCAAACAGAGAGATAAACAGAAATAAGGTAATGCCTTTCCCAAAACGAACGAACGAATGGATGGATGGATGGATACTTGTGGATTCGCATTTATTTCATTTGCATTTGCATTTAAAATGAAATGAAAATCAGACCAGCATAAAAATATACACAGGCTGATCCGATCCCATCCAATATATTTATTTGGACATCATTAAAAATGCCACATTTGAATGGAGATGAGTAGACAGTAGACAGGGGGAATGGGATACGACCCGGACCAGTAACCGTACCCGTACCCGCACCCGAACGATGACGAAGACGTTGAGAGGATGACACAGTCTCTTTGGGTGGCTTTTTTTGCTTGATATGCATAAATGTCAAAGTGATTACAATGCAGGGCCCGCAATGTGTTTATCGTTTTGCCACATGCTTCACTGCCCCTTGTGCGACGTTCTCCCCCCCACCATTGCCAGTGAAAAGTGGCAGGGCGCAAAAAAAAAGGACAGCTCCAGAACGCTTCGAACTGTGAGTGTGACAACGCCCTACCCACATCCATTCAGTCATTCATTCATTCATTCATTCATTCGCTCACTCGTTGCTTACACGCCCATCGAGCACGAGGACGAGGCACAGTGGAGCAGCAAACCACAAAAGAGCAGCGTGCCATGCCATCTGGATGGCCTGTCAGCGTCTCCTGGCGCACCGTACCACAGTGGGCCCTGGCCTGGATTCGTCTTGATGTACGCAGGTGCGCTTATTGACGCTCGACTGCATTTCGTTTGAGGACAAGCCGAAAATCTGAGGCAGCCAGATCAAAGCCAGAGGACAATCTCCTTGTCCTTGTCATTCCTCCCACCCCACAGCCCACTCCACCACCCCACTTAGTGGCAAGCTGTCTTCGCCATCGTCCTTTGCATAGATAGAACTTGTGGAGAGCCGGAGCCCTCTGCGAAAGCCGAAACAGAATGAAAAGGCAACGTTTTAATATTTTCGAGGCACTCGAAAATCCTTTCCGAGCACATTTCATGGTCGCAGAACAATTTCCGGTCCGCTCCGGTCACAGTTGGGCGACAAGTATCCCCCTCCTTTGAGCCTTGAGTCCTTGTTCGTTGGTGATTTGCAAGTTTTACGGTGAACTGAGGCGAATGGCTCTGCCAAACGGCTCCAAGGATTCAATAAAGCCTTAAATACATGCTCCAGAGTGCGGCTAAGAGCGTGCATCGATAGCTGCCACAGCATAAGCATTCAGCACAGCAACAGCATCAGCAGCACTCGAAAACAAAAACCAGTTGGCAGCTCCATTTCCATAGACACACCGCCAATGAGACAGAGAGAGAGAGACAGCGAAGAGACGTCTGCCAAAACACTTTGAACTTTTTAAATTTTTAATGAATCAAAAATGTTTTCACACTTTTTCGCACACTCTTCCTGCCTGCCACACCGCCCGACACCGCACCACCTAGGCAATGCATGTGTGCTGGGCTGGGCTGGCTGTCTGCAACATGTTTCTGTTGTCGATTTCCATTTCCAGCGGCAGCTTCCAAAGGGAAGCACCAAAAAACTGTGTGACAGTTCGTCAGTGGATGGATGGATGGGTTAGCGTTAGCCCGTTCAGCCTGCACTCTTTCCCCGGCTCGCTATGCTGTGGGCCGCCTCGCCTAAAATCCACAGAAATGTAATTGAACTTAATTCGATTTGGAGCGAGACAAGTTTTTTGACAGCTGCTCAAGTTCCCAGGCGGCAATGCATCTCGGCTCTGTGTGTCCTTTAAAGTCCTGCCAAAGACTTTAAATGTACGACCATTGCAAGATGGAACTCATTTCAAAGGGAAGGAATTGCAGCCATAGTCCGGAAAGTACTTTAAAAGTACCACAAAAAGCAACTCATTTAATTTCACATTAGAAAAAGTGACTTCCTCACACCAATTACATTTTATACGTATCCTCCAATCCAATCACTCAGATTATTACTTATGGTCCTGCTTGCACCGCCTCTCAGCAGCCTCTGCGCTACCTACACCTTCCTGTAAGTGGCAGTCCAGTCCGGTGGTCAATTTTTTCGCATATGTTGCCATGAAGTGAACCCTCAAGTGCAGCAACTTGAGCTCCACACAACAACAACAACAATAATAATAATAATAACAATACAAAATACAACAATTTTCCATTTGCCATGAAAGGGCGGACGGAGGGGGGCACTTGGAGAATACTTGGACTATTCGGACTACTCGGGGAAAATAAAAATAAAAATAAAATCATCCAAGCTGCACCCCCAGGCAGGACTTGGACTTGGATGGCTGCTTCCTAACAAGCAGTTCATTTTTCTGCCAGTCAGCCACACAATTGCCTCAAGAGCTAAGGCGGGGGGGCATAAATATTTTCTATGGTATACAGGGAATATGATTTGATTTTACAATTACACGAATATGATTGCATCTTTGGGCAGGGCTGCGAGAGAGCTAACTCCAATTTTAATTGGTATCGAAATGGCCCTGCGAATCTCTCGACTCTCTGTTGGAATTTTCAGACTCAACTTTAACCCTTTAACGAAAAGCCATCCATCGATGGCAGCTTTACTTTCGACACACAATAACCATAAATCTGAGGAGCACTGACTGCTGCGCTTACTTAGGATGAGTTTATTTAAATACCCAAAGAAAGACCCTGTCGTCTGCCTGTGTCTCCTGCTCTGTCCCTGCACCCCTGCACCCCTGCACCCTGCTGCAAGTATCTGGTAGCTGCATCTGAAAACGTCTTCGCCGGCTAGCAATATTTTTGCATTTAGCAATATTTTCGAGAGCGTTGTTAATTTCATGCCCGAATGGTTCGCTGGCTGCTGCTTCTCTCCTGAAGATGATGATGCAGAGCAGAGCAGGGCAGATCAAGGATTTGGGTGGCCATGTGTAAGACCAAAGTTTGCACTTCTCCGGCGCTTGGGGGGAAGTTAGAAAAATGAAATGAAAATTGCGCATAATTTTGCATTACTAATCTTTAATTCCTTGGCAACTTTTTTAATCATTTCCTCACCTATTCGGTGGTCGTGGAGGAGGGGTGCACGGATAATAAGCCTCGCTCTAAATTAAAAACTTTTCGCCCTCGCCAGGCGATTTATTTTTGTATTTTTTTTGGTTATTTTTCCCCCCACTAATTGCAATAAATTTGCGTTAATAAACTGAAAATGAAACCAAAATTGTGGCAAATTGCCAACGGCAGTGGGCACTGTAGATGGCCAATTTGAGCGCATAGACCAGGCCGGGGGCTTGGCCCTCCAAAGTTTCCACCATAATTAAAAATATATTACCGAAATCTTTATAATATCCGCGAGGCTCAAGTAAATCAGAGAAGTGAGTTTCATTAATGAAAACCCCAATAAGCAATACAGAAAGCCAACACAGAAACCAAAAGTCTATGCCGAAAAAGAATTCAAAGGGATGGAAAGGTCT